GGCATGGCTTATTATCTAAGACAGTAATGAAATCTTGCAAAGAATTGTTCAGATCGGATCACTATAGCACATAGCTGCCATACAAACTGAGCGTTCAACCAAAGTTAACGTTTTTTCTTGTTTTTATTTCACTTGTACTTTTTTATATTTTTTGTACCTTATGTATGTATATACAGGGTGTTGTAGCTGCGTAGAAAACTTAACCCAAATAATATTGAGGAAAACTGTCCAGTTAACAATATTCTTCGTTGTATATATATCCGAGTTCGTTCCTTTTTCGAAGACAAGAGGGTTATACCTAAAACTTTGCATCATCTTTCATGTCGGTATGCGTTCTTCTAATTTATTTGGACAGTTTTTTGAAGACAACAATCAAGTGCACGGCTTTATTGGCCACTGCAACTTGAGCACTTCTGGCTGCGTTATTTTTTCGATCGTCTCGGCTGGTATGAGAATGATTTTAGCATAAAAATTTGCCTTGAGCTCGTCAATGATCCAAAGAGGGCTGGCGTACTTTTCAAATAAATCCACGAACGAACTCAGAGATAGGCAGATGCAGATCTAGAGCGTCAATCAATACAATTCGTTCTTGATCTCAAACGTCCGTGCAGTTCTTGCTGTAGAAAGTGATTAGTTTGATTTGCAATATGACTTTAAAAGTCATCTTGTTGAAAACAGTAATGCCCAAGATATGGCTCAAGCATTTGCGAGCAAACAAAATGTGCCAAAATTCACCAGTCTCGGCTTATACCGACCGTTTCGTTAAAAAAAATATGGACCAATCATTATTTTAGTTCCCAAAAGGCCACTTTTTGTTAGCCCAATGCCAAAACATATCTCAACAACTCAATCGGTTAAGAAAGTTCTATATTTAATTGTCAACATAAAAGATGACACGCCCTGTATATTTTTTAGACAGTTTGCAATAGAGTATAACAGGTTCCACCCGAAATAAAACTGCCTTATATATATTTTTTTTTTTTTTATATAGTCTAATATTTTAGAGTATGTAAATCAACAATTTTCAAATATTAATTCCGACATCTTTATTATTCAACTACTTCCAGATATGACGTTGGTCATGACGGCTATTTGGATCTGACCGAATTGAAATTCATGATGGAAAAATTAGGCGCACCACAAACCCACTTGGGTCTCAAGCAAATGATCGCTGAAGTCGATGAGGATCACGATGGTAAAATTTCGTTTCGCGAATTCTTATTGATCTACCGCAAGGCACAAGCCGGTGAGCTTGACAACGATTCCGGACTCAATCAATTGGCGCGTCTCACCGAAATCAATGTCGAAGAGGTTGGCGTAACCGGCGCGAAAAATTTCTTCGAAGCCAAAATCGAACAACAACTGCGCTCGAATAAGTTCCACGATGAGATCCGACAAGAGCAGGAGGAGCGACGTCGCGAGGAAGAGGAACGTGCCAATAGACGTTTACAATTCCAACAGCGTGCAGCGATCTTCCAGTAAAAAACGATCGCCATTGCTTTACGCTGTATGTGGAGCGGGTAGCGTAAGGGGGGAACAATTGGGATACTTTTACGATTTATCGTCATCATCAACACTTTGTAGCTTTTAAGAAAATGATCATTTGGAAGCATCAGCGCAATGTACTGATTGGTTAGATAGATGTTTTAGCGGGACAGTAGTAGTCAGTAGTCAGTACCAGAAGAAGAAGTAGAAGAAGAAGAAGGGGAGTTTGAACCACTCACACACATCGCATATCGCATAAATATTTGATAAGTTACACACACAACTACAACTACAACTAAATATGAAGCATTTTATGTGCAGCAAGCTTACAACTGCGCCAGCAAATCATAATAACAAAAACAACTGAACAAAAGTTAATATAAACATATATATAGTACTAAAGTGCATAAATACTTTGAACTTAACAAGTATTGATACCAAATCACTTGTGCGCTTACACATAAATATGTATATGAAGAGCGCCAATTTTAATTTTAGTTTGCTTTAAGTCTTTGCGCGAATCTTAATTGCTTTGCTTGAGTGTGAGGTGTAAAGCTAAAAAGTGTACTTTATTTTACTTTATTTTTTTCGGAGTTTACATTTTTGAAAATTTGTTGACTAAATTCCATTTTTGAATTGCAAAAAAAAACGTTTTAAAAGTTGAAATTTTTTTTTAATTGCTTAAATTTTTAGGACATTTTTTTGACACTTTCACCTATGTGTATATATTTTTTAATTAATTCAAAATTTAAGTGTTTTTGAAATATTTAAAACATTTTATTTAAAATTTTTATATTTTAATTAAAAACGTTTTAAAATATTTTGCTTAAAATTACTTCAAATTTATTTGACAAATATTTTAAAAGTTTTTACCTTATACGCATGTAATTTTTTTTTTAAATATTTTAATAATTGAAAATTCTAATTTCAAGTTTTAAAATTCGTAATAATTTTTTTAGTGGAGAGAAATTTGGTACGCGGGTCCCCTGATCTATCAATTTATTGAAATTTTATACATTATCCTCTCGAGAGCTCCGGGCGCTTGAGGAATTATCACCTCTCTCTCCCGTTCACTGCTAAAACTTGTTCAAGCTTTTATGCAAATTTTTAATGATTTTTGTGCTTGAAAACTTTTTAAAGTAATTTGTTTAAATTGTAATTTAAATTTACTGTTTGTTTTTTTAATTTTAAGTATATAATTTTTTTTTTTTTGATTTTATTGAAAATTTTAATATTTTAACTATTTTTTCAACTATATACTTTTTTTTTTTTTGGTATTAAAGTCTTGTTGAAAGTTTCATTTCCTTTTTTTTTTGTGTGAACAATTGCAAAATTTTTTCATTTATTTTTTTTTTAATGCAAATTTTGATTAATATAACTGTGTTTGAGTTTTTTTTTCTGGTTTGATGTAATTAATTCAAATACTAATTTTTTAATTTTGTTTATTTGTAGTTATCTAAAAAATTATTTGCTTCGAGAGCAATCTTCGCGGTATTGAAAAAAAAATTATTTTTAAAATGCACTCTTATAATTTCTCCAAACACTTCAGCAAAGCAATTGACAATCGTGCAAACCGCTTTTTATACGGAATGTGAATTACTTGTAAAAAAAATATTTTTTGCGTTTTTTTGTGTTTTTGTTTCTTAATATGAAGCAAAATCTCAAAATCTATTTTTTTGTTTGCATTGTTTAGCACATTTTTATCCTTATACGTTTCAATATTATTTGTTTTTAATAAAGAAAAAATTTCTTATAAAAAAATAATCAATACTGCAGCATTGTTGTTGTATTTTGTAGCCGTTTAGTGTAAGCATTTAGTTGTATGTACTTGTCAAGCAATAATACGCACTATAAACAATATAAACTCTACAGTAATTATAACCGTATATCGTACAATTAATGACCTACATACATACATACATAGCTATGCACTTTTAAAACTACAAAACATTTTTTATTAAATTTCTTTAATTATAATTTTGCCTCGTTTGGGTTTTTGCAATATTTTACCATTTTTTTAAATGTAGAGTTTTTTATTTTTGTTCTTTTTTTAATATATGTATATGTATGTATTTTTAGTGCCATTTTTCGTTCGATTTTTTTGTTTTTTAACTCAATTTTATTTTTACGATTATTATTTTTCTTTGAGCGCTAGAAAAAAACTTTTATAAATAATAACCTAAAAATTGTACTACACTAGTGTGTTTTGAGAAAAAAAAATTAAGTAAATATATAATTTGCACCATCAATATTAAAAAAAATATATATAAAAAACATATTTTAGCTCAGGAGTTTGAAAAAACTAGATATTAAAAATTAAATATTTTTTCCAAAAAGTTTTATTTCCTTATAAGTTGCACACACACACAGCTCGCAATACTTAGAAACTACAAACATATTTTAATGGTTTTTATTATTTTATGCACAATTATTAGTTTGCATTGCATTTAAAAGAAATATTTTTTAGTTTTAAGTTTTATATTTTTAAATAATTAAAACAATGTAAATTTCTTAACATTTATAAATACATATGTTAAGTGCTATAACTATGTTAAAATAACCACCAAGCTTAATATTATATATAATAAGTATGTCTGTATATTTACAATAATTATTTCAAGTGTATGCTACCAGCAGTAAAAAGAAAATAATTCAATATTATAAAATAATGAAAATCTTCAATAAATAAAAAAATATATATGTATCTATTTGAATGTGTATGGAAATTTCTACTTTATTTATTTATTTGGCTAGGTACTAAAGGCAGTTTTTTAATTAAAAAAATTGTAATAATTAAAAAAAAAAAATTTCAAAAAATTACATCTAAAAAAATTATTAATAAAACCAATAAAATTTTTTTTTTTTAAATAAACAAATAATTTTAAAAAAAATATATATAAAAAAAATAATTTAAAATTAATTTAAAAACATTTTTTTATTAATTAAAAACTATTATAAATATTTTATAATTAAAAGTTATTTTAATTTTTTTTTTAATTTACAATTTTTGTACTTTTTTTTTTAATCAAATATTATTATAAATATTATATAATTAAGACTTATTTAAATTTTTTTTTCAATTTACAATTATTTTTAATTAAAAAATATAAATAATATTGGAAAAAACGTTAAATTACGCCAATCCCCCTGAATTGCAGTGCATTTCGCATAAAAACTCACGCACACACGAAAACTCCACCACCCACGTGAAAATTGCAGAAACACAAAATTCTAAAGTTGAATTGTAAGTGTCGCTGAAACACCAGGCGCGCACAAGTGCACAGCAGGTGGCTGCCAAAATGCCGCACAGACGCATGCACACACCACACTCACGCACAGTGCGACTTCCGGCAGTATATGCATTTTAGCATTGCATACTTTTAGGCGCTAAATACGAAATGAGAACAGCGGCATATTTACATTTCTTATTTACTTATGCCAATTTTTGACTTTTATTTATGAATAAATGATTGCCTACACACGTATTTATATACATATATAAATAAATAAAAGGCTTTTAGATAGAAATGTGAAATTAGGCGGATAAAAAATCGTAGTAGTATTTACAGTTTTTTGGTCAATAAGAAAAGTAACATTACATAACACACTCATTCAGGTATACTTATATTAAATACTTATGTTTAAAATTTATTGGTGCTGCAGTTAACTACTCTGCGCTGCATGCAATTTCATTGAGACGTGCGCGCTTGACCGCCGCATGCCGGCAACGTAACATATCACTTTTGAGCGCATACGAGCGCTGACACACAACACACTGATGCGGCTTCAACTTCAAGTGGAAGGCGCGCACATGCTGCATCAAACCGTTGCGCCGCTTGTAGGCGCGCTCACACAGACCGCATTGGTGCCGCCGCTGATCGCTGTGCGTGATGCGGTGCTGACTGAGTCTGTTCGCCGAGGCAAACACTTTAGCGCACAGCGGACAAGCATACGCGCGCGTTGAAGTTGCAGAATTTTTATGTTTCGTTTGGCGCGCATTGGCCGGCACTGCATGCGTTGAACGAGGCGCGGCGCCACGCTGTTTGTTGGTCGGTGTTAGAGATTGCACGGTAACTTGTTGTCGTTGGTGGTGGCGGCGACTTATACGGCTGTGTTGCTGTCGACGTTGTCTGCTTGATTTACATTTCACTTCATGTCTGCGGTAGAGGCGCCAATGATTGAAAGTGCTGCGTCGGCAGTAGCGACACTTGAATGTTTGCATTTGCATTTTGAAGCAGCGCAACGGCAGCGCCTGGCATATGTAGCGCATGTGATTGTGTAAAGCGATTTTGTGACGAAAGAACTTCTCGCAGCCACAGCAGGTGGCGGCAAAACGTTTAGGCATGCGACGCGTCCAATGCCTGAGTGTGCGCTTGTGTTGCAGCAGGCGTTGGATACTTTTGAAATTTTCGCTGCAAACGCGACAGCGAAAACGATTGGCGGCGGCGCTTGACATTGTGGACTTGAACTTGGCCTCTTTTCTTTGTTTCTCCAATATTTGTATTTGCAGTGATTTACATTTGAGCTGCAGCCTCTTGTAACGCTGTCCCAATTGCCGATACTCGGCTGTAATAATATCGGGCGCTACTTTGGCGTTTATCCTGCGTTCAAGCGCTGTAAGGCGCGCGCTGATGTGTCTACTTAAGAGCGCGCGCCGTTTAGTGCGCTTCGGTTTTTGCAAGCGCGCAGACGTAGCTGTTGGTTGGATTGTAGGCGCGGGAGTTTTGAAAGCATTCTCTGGCGCCAAGTTTGTGGCGGCGCAAATGCTGTGCGATTTTGTAGCATCATTGTTATTCAAAGGAGTTTTGAGATAGTCTGCCTGAATATTAGTCATATTACTAAATGGATCGTGTTGCCGCAGAAATGTGCGCTTCATTTCAAGTATTCGCACTGCATTTGGCGCGCCGATCAGGCTTGAAGTATCCTTAGCCGCACAGTTTGGCGTCATGTAGCTGTTTTTTATCGCATTTGTATTGTCAAAACCAAAGACATTTGGCTGGAGAAAAGTATGCGTGTCATTCGTTTTATGTAGACTGTCTGCGCATGCAGCGGATGAACCGAAGCCTTTCTCCAATTTACAATTATTGTTGAATGCTTCGCTTCTGACATCATTGGCCGCGCCATAATACTTCCAAACATAGTCACCAGGCACACTTACCATGGGTAAGCGCTCCTCTTGCTGTTGCTGTTGTTGTTGCTGTTGCTGTTGGTAATGATGATTTTGCGTGACCATATTTGGCTGCTGTGGATTATATGGATCCAAGAGTTGCTGTAGCTGTTGCATGTGAACGCTTTGCAACTTCTCTTGTTCTACGCGCATTTGTGTGCTTTGCTCTTGCATTTGCGCTTGCGTCTGATGCGCTACGATATAATGCTGATTTAGTGTCTCCATGCTGAAGAATTTTAGATGACAGTGTTGACAGGTATGTAGTTGGAAGGCATTTGAAGATTTCACTATACTTTCGTCGAGCACAACAATATTTGGTTTGGGATGTGTTTTCATTGGCGCTGTCGATGATGTGGAAACACTCATTTTTGAACCAGTAGCGGCGTCACTGGTTGGCGCCGGTATGTCATCCACTGCAGTGACAACAAGCTTTTCGGCACGTGTATGTTCCTCAACCGTTCGGTTGGGTATTGTTATGGATGCATCAGAAAGCTCACTCACCGACGTGACTATTGGTCTTGTAGAGCGTGTTTCTGGTGGCGAAGCTGTTGCAACGGCGGGACTTGTTGGCTTCTCACTATTTGTAGCAGCAGTATTTTCTAAATGCATGTTTGACGTGGCATAGTTTTCTTCTAAAGGTTAAAAATTTATTTAAAGTATTTATATTATTTTTTTATAAGTTTGTACATACTATATATGCCGGTTGAAGCGGCATTTTCGCCGTTGTGATGCTCGTCTCCCGCATAACTCGTCTGTTCATCATCTTCAGTTGCAGCATTTGTCATAAAGTCTCCTCGATCTGCATATTCGCCGCCATCAGTCTTCTCTGTCTTATAAGTATTTTTGAATTGACACTCTTCCTTCAAGTCCTCCGTTGTATAAGCATAGTTGTGCTCTTCATTTAACAAATGATTTTGTAGCAATTCGTGAGCACTTAGTAAAGTACGCTTGTTCCTCTCTTGCTGTTCCTGTTGTATAGCTTTCTCTTGTTGTTTTGTATTCGGTGTAATATTTTCACAATTCGTATTCGCATCATCATCCGGTATGTTTATAAAAGGATCATCCAAATTTATTATTTCCATTATATCACAATTGTTGATTATATCCTGTGCATTCAACATGGGAAAATCACAGAAATCATATTTTTGTTCAACAATCGTCTCAGCGTCATGCTCCTGTTCACAACCCTCATCCATGCCCATATCTAAATCATCCGAGAGGAAACTGTCAAAACCTTCAGGAAGCTCCTGTTTCACACGCACCACTGGTTCTTGTTTTACCTTAAGCGGGCGTTCAGCAAAACGTGTGCTATTATCCTTTTTCTCTATGCGATATTTTCGTTGTAGTTCACTTTGTGTTTCGAGCACTTTGTCGATAAAACGTGAGAAGCTTTCCACGCGTTTAAGGCACAAGCGACACATCTCTTTCGGTAAGTTGTCGTCTTTTTGTATGTTGAGTGTAGGAAAACATTTTTGTATCATGCCATAAATTTCGAAATTTGTAGAAAATGACACCACAGCTGAGCATGCACTACCACACAGCCGGCATTTAAACTTATTCGGCGCATTCGGGGAACTTTGTAAAGATGTGGTTTGTTTACGCTAAGAAGTGTAAAACAATAACTTAGACATCTCCCTTTACGTAGCGGTATATTGTATTTATACATTACTTACTTGATCTAACTCCTCATCAAATTCTTCGCATGTTTCACTGAATGTCTCTGTGGCGGATAAGTTGCTGATTGCGGTTTTTGTGGCAGCTTGTTGCAAAGTGTTTTCTTTGGCAATATCTTCTTCTTTTCGCTCAGTGTTCACCTTTTCTATGGTCTGCACATGTTTCAGATTTCGCAAACATGGCACCGCAGTCTTCTTTAGTATTTTGCGATCGGCGGCACAATTGAAATCTTCATCACGAAAGTGGCGACTACAAATGGCACTCCACTTCGACGGCTGCCAGTCTGGACCACGTTGTGCGAAATCAAGCCATTTCTTCATTAGCTCTTGTCGCTTAAATGGGAATCTGAAAAAATTAATAATCTTAGCTCGTTTGCTTTGCTAATCTCATGCTAATTCTGCATGATACTTACTTGTGAAAGGATATATTGTCCGCGTGTCCATACTTATCACCACAATTTTGTACAGCACAAAAAGCTGGCATTTTAACAAATTTTGCAGTTATTTGTTTTTATCTTGGTTAAACATAATAACAACGTTTGTACCCTAACAACTGCAAATATATTTATTACAAACATAATGTTTGGTAACTAGCGATGGCATGGTCGGCAACAAAATATGTAGTAATCGATTTTTTTTTGTAACTGGCGATTTCTACAGTATAGAAAAATTCGTAAATCATCAGCATTTGTAGTTCTAATTTAACACAATTAGCTTAAAGAAAACCAAATATGTTACTTTTTTTAAATAAATAATTCTAAGGACTACAACTTTTTACGAATAATCGATATATTTTAATTTGATTAATCGCTCATATCGATTACATATAATATTTATACATGATCTGGCATTGTTTACAGCTGTGTTGGTAGAACAGCTGATTTGCAAATATCATTACGCGTGTTATCATTAAAAAATATCTTGGAATTGCGTACACACATACAAACATACATACACTTCCAACAAGATTTTAATTTTTCTAACGTATTAGATACAGATTTCGGTGTGCGGTTGACCAGCACGGGTAAGTGACTTACTTTCAGTCAATTTTCTATTCTCGCGGAAAGCTCACGCGCCGACAGCAATAATTAACGCGATATCGCCTCTTCCCCCCGAGAACAGCGGAGCATATTCGTACAAAGTAAAAGTATTTTGTATATCATATAGATAAAAAGAGAAGGACAACAAGGTCAACTCAGGTAGCGGTGTGTTACGTGAACTTCAAAAGGAACCGTTTTGAATAGGAGAGAAAGTGATATTTAACAGCAAGTATGGCACAACTAATAAAAAGCATTAGGGGTACGATAGTTTTGGGGCAAAAGCTGACAAGCCCAACTTCGACTCTAGCAACGGCGGGACAGCGCCGCTTGAGGAGCACTCAAAGCTAGTAAGTATATAACAAATACATATGTACAAATGTGAACACATAAGCGTACTTACTATATGCATATACTATGTGCATTATTTCTATTTGTGATTATTCAATTGATATATTTACGTATATTTTGATGTGTCTTTTAAAGTGACTATGATTTGGTTGTTGTGGGCGGTGGTATTGTAGGTGTCGCGTCAGCGCGCGAAATATTGTTACGACATCCCCATTTACGTGTTGGTCTACTAGAGAAAGAACATAAATTAGCCGTGCATCAGAGTGGACATAATTCTGGCGTTATACATGCTGGTATTTACTACAAACCCGGTTCACTGAAAGCCAAATTATGTGTGGAGGGTATGCACTTGGCATACGACTTCTTAAACAAAAAGAAGATACCATACAAAAAAGTGGGCAAACTGATTGTGGCCACAAGTGAAGATGAGGTAGAACGTTTGATGGACTTGTATGTGCGTGGTCAAAAGAATTTATGTCCCGATCTGAAATTGATTGATGGCAAAGAAATAAAAGATTTTGAACCATATTGTGAAGGCGTTAAAGCTATACACAGTCCGCATACTGGCATAGTCGACTGGGGTCTAGTCACAGAATACTATGCGCAAGATTTCAAACAGGCTGGCGGTGATGTGCACCTCAATTTCAAAGTAAGTATACGCTAATTTATGCAAATAACACAGGTAAAATATGTAAATTTACTATTATTTCGCAGGTGTCGAAATTCTTAGAAACTACCGATGGAGATGCTAGCAAATACCCGGTAACAATACGTGGCGCGCGCGGTTACCAACAAGTGCGTACACGTTATGTGCTAACCTGTGGCGGCCTGCAATCGGACAAGTTAGCCGAAATGACAGGCTGTCCACGCGATCCACGTATTATACCCTTCCGCGGTGAGTACCTTCTGCTCTCGAAGGAGAAACAACACATGGTGCGTGGGAATATTTATCCTGTACCCGATCCGAATCTGCCATTCTTGGGCGTGCATTTCACACCACGCATGGACGGCTCAGTTTGGCTGGGACCGAATGCTGTGTTGGCCTTCAAGCGTGAAGGCTACACGTAAGTGCTTAAAAGTGACTAATATTAATTGCGGTTATGCAAGCGTTAATCAATTTCGCATTAATAATCTTACCACTGTTTGTGTTATGTTTATTTTCGTTTTTTTTATTATTTTTATTTTTAGTTGGGGTGATATAAACTTGCTGGAATTATTCGATGCCGTGCGTCATCCTGGTTTCTTGAAAATGGCTAGCAGACATTTGAAATTCGGTTTAAGCGAAATGACGAAATCATTGTTCATTAGATTACAAACTAAGGAACTGCAAAAGTACATACCAGAAATTAATGAATTCGACATAAGCAATGGTCCAGCTGGTGTACGTGCTCAGGCCATGGACAGCTATGGCAGCTTGGTGGATGATTTCGTATTCGACAAGGGAGAGGGCGAAAGTGCGTTGGCTAAACAGGTGCTGCATTGCCGTAATGCACCATCACCGGGTGCGACCAGCAGTTTGGCTATTGCCAAAATGATTGCCGATAAGCTTGAAAAGGAATTCGATATAAAATGCTAAGTCAATGGTGTTGACGAAGGTTCTGCAGCAGCGTATGCTAGTGTAAATTAAATTTTTCTAGTTGAATTGTATGTGTTCCTTTTTTGTACTTGTCACCAATGGTTAAATATTTTTATCAATTTTTGCACTTGTAATAACGGTGGCTTAAATCTCTGTCCATATACGATTTGTGTATAATAGTAATTAGTGAATTGCGGCGCATTTAAAAAGGTTTCTGTTTGCTATGCAGAATATATTTTTGTTTGCTAAAAGCAAACGAAAAGACGAATACAATAAATTAATATAAAATAACAACAAAACTAACTAAGAGAAAAAATACTAGTTTAATTCCAAAATATGTCTTTTTGCATTACCACTTTTTGTTTCCGGCTCATTTATGCCAAATATGCGTATGTCCTTTTGCATTTGCGCTGCTGGAAACAAAAACTTCTTACATTTTGCGGCCAAAGTTGTCAAACCATTTGCCGCGTGTTGACGCATTTTCACATCTGCGTTTTCATCGGCTTCAATTGTTTTGAGCACACGATAAATTGGCAGCAACAACTCCTCAAAGTCCAACAAATTTTCGATGCCCGCCAAAAGTTCGCTTAGCACCAAAGTAGCAGCACGCTTGGCAGGCAGATATTTGCCTGTGCTGAGCTCACAATCGATGAGGTTGAGCAGCTGCAATAAGAAAAAATTTATTAAATGTTGTACGCAATGGTATATCTCATTATCTCTCTCTCTCTCTTTCACCTCTTGAAAAAAATGTTGCACTTGATAGCAAAGTGTACGTGCAATTTGAGCAAGATTGGAAAATGAAGACATACGAAACTCATTCAGGGGACTGCGCGCGCCATGCATAAAACAGTTCAGCAATGTATCCTTGTATTTATAGCAAAGTGGACCTGCAAGATAATGTCGTTTATTTCATTTTATATTAGTAGACTGGGTTTTTTTCAGACCCACCCAACTCCTGTGCAACCTTAAGCATAGCCTCGCCCACTACCAAGCGATAATCAATTGTCGTCTGTTCGTTGAGATATTCATCGGCTAACGTTTCCAACACTTCGGTTTCCATAACATGCACTAAACCCACAAACAAGCGTACACAATTTAGAAACGTGTATGATTCCCGATTTTTAAGCGTGCTCAGCGCCAAAGCAATTAGCAAGTGTGTATTGGCGAGCGTTACACTATCGCGTTGACGCAACAATTCGAGCAACATTTGTATGCCGTAGACCTGCAAGTGTGACTCCGTGGATTCGACAAGTGCACGCGCTGAATTAAAAGCACTCGTTTCCTGTGCAGCACTTGCCTTGAATTCACCATTCAGTAGTGTGACTAGGCATTTAATGCGTGCTTTAATTAGCTGATTGGGCGTTTGGATTTGTAGTTTTTGTAGCGCGGGTATAAGGTCACGATATGCTTCCGGCATTTGGCTTTGTTCGAGTAACTCCTGTGTTAATGTCAACAGAATGAGTAAAGTTTGATCCATAGATTCGGTTTGTTCACCACTATCACTAGCCATATTATGTGTGTTCAAACGTTTATGCAGGAGAGTGCGTAAAAAACGTAAAAAATCTGTGACATTTTCAAAGATTTGCGATTTAAGTGGCTGGTGTGAGATCAACGTGTTTAGAGATAGTAAAATCTCTACTTTGACCGGGTATTTGGAATTTAAGAAGGTAATCAATTCATCCTCGGTTTGCAGCAACTCAATTTGTGCTTCGTGCTGACTGTTTGCATCGTCATCCAAAATATTCGACATTTCATGCAAAAGAATCATAAATACTCTGTAGGTGAGTATGTTGTGATTGCTGTTCATTAAAAGCTCGGGCACTGCCAAAGAGGGACTGAAATCTTGTTTCGTTTCGATGCTGGCAATTTTCACTGTAAGTTGCGTTTGTTCTACATTGGGATAGATGATTACGCGCGTATGCAGCTGCTGCCAATTATCATCGAACGTTTGCTTATACAACTTTACAACGATTTGTTGCAGTTCATCGCACGTACAATTGTGTAGGCAGCGCGTTACAATACTTGCTAGTTGCTTCTTTTGTAAAAATCCATCGGGCATGTGATGGTACATTTGCAGTAATAGTGGTAGATAAGGAATCAGTAGTTCAGTAGGTAAACACTCTACAGTCGAACTGCAGAAGAGCTGATATATTAAGGCAATAAGCAGTGAAAGCTCTTTATGTTCCATCACTATTAGACCGCTTAGCACTTCCGCCGGTTGACTAAATTTAGAAAAGTTGTTTGCAATTATATCACTTATCTGCAACTTGTTTAGCTCATTTAAATCATAAAGTCGTCGCAGTGATAACAGCCCGGCACCCATACAGTCTATCATTGCATTTTCATTTAGTAAACAAGTATTAAGAAATGAGAATATTTGTCTTATCAGAGTGTTTTGTGCGCGTGGTGTGTGCCCACGAAAAGCGACTATGTTGGCGATAATCTCGAAAACTTTTTTATCACTTAGCATCGCTCTATTCGTGCTGGCGCCACTAGCGTTTGTAGACTGCGCTGTATGCAGTGTAGCTACTAATGTTGCAAATCCATCTTTAGAGAGTAATTTCTGTATTAGTTCGTGATGCAATTGCTTCTGCAAGTCACCTGGTGCACGACGTAAACCTTTCAGTAGCATAATATTTCTTAAAAATTCTAACTTACTCACATACAACCAAATGTAATTAATTTTATTTTGCAATGTTTTTAAAGTTTCTTCCTGTAGAGAGAATTCTTGCGTCGCACTTGCTAAACGTAGACTGAATATAGCCGCAATATAATCACGCATAACTATTTCCATCGCGTTGGCCATATGAAGTTGTTTAATTTTTATTAAACGCTCAACTATTTCTATAGACAATAACAATAGTGGGTAATTACAATGAGCACCGTGTGTCGCGCGTTCTTTTGTAAATACGCTTATTTCATAGAATGTGGCATGCAGCTGTCTATGTAACGCATATTTGGCCAAATCTTGCACTGCTTCAATACAGCGGCTGATATGGCGAGTCGATATAAGATCTTCTTTGGCCTCACTATTAAAATTAACATTATTTACTATTTCCAACAACATTCGTTGCATATAAACAGCATAGATTAGCTCTTCATCCTCCTCAGCAACACTAATACAATGTAAGTGCAGCTCAGATTCTAACCATAAAGTGTTAAGTGTACTCACAGTCTTCTCAATTAAAGCATTTGTATTTTCTGGCATAAACTTCTGCAATATTGCTATGTTGTGTTTCAAACGGTGCTTATCGTTAGAGGCTTCAATCTTTTTCGATTTATCATCACAGCCTACATAATGTTATGATGTTTATAGTCTAAGTTATTTAAATGATATCTATGATTTAATTACCTTCATCTTCACCAAATTTTAAACTTTCTAAAACTAGCAAATATTTTACAACATTAACGCTTTCCATGTTATTATTTACTTTTACGGCAAATAGAAGAACAAGTTATTCCAAACAACACGAGGATTTTGTTTACTATTTGGCTTAGGGTTGCTAAGTCGCTAAATCGAATATCATTACAACTGTAATGGCCACACAATAAAAAATGCTAACTGTACTAAATTCAATAAGTTTAATTCATAGTCATCATTTGTAGATGTATATTTTAACAATTTCGCAGAAGCCAAAAAAAAAATCTAAATGTTTAAATTTTTTTTATATTCTACAGTAATTTTGTTTTTTTTTTCCGGTTAGTGAAATGTAAATTTAGAGGAATTTCAGAGTAACCAAATTAGAATGTGTTAAGAACGAACGATAAGAACTTGTATACATTTCGATGTTAATATTCGTTTATTTTTAATATAAGTTTATGATAATTTACTATTTATTTTTCAATACATTTGCGAAAACCAAACAAACAATTGCAATATAAATGTTGTAGTACAACAAAACAATATCTCAATGACACAATTTTTCGCGAAATGGTGTTAGTTATGATGAAATGTTTATGCATTTGATGAAAGTTATTTAAAAATGAAAACTTATTGGTGATAATAAAATATGTGAAACAATTTCGCATAAATATTATTTCTGTAAAGAGAATACTATGCATTCGCATATGCAAAATAAAATAAAAAGTAGACAAAGTTAACAAAATAATTTTTTTTACTTCTGTTTTGTTTTGCTTCTTGTTTTTCTTAATTGAAATGATAACATAGAGTTGCCAGACCGCAAATTTATGTGAATTAAATATTGATTTTAGTTTCAACATTTTATGTGCAACCCTGCAGAATAGTAAGAAACATAATCAAAGCAAACTAGCGGATTGACAGACGGATTAGAACTGTCAATGTCAGCTAGCAAAATTTGTGATTTGTTCGCGATAGCTGGCAGGTGAAAATATTCGATTATTGCGATTTTCTTTTGAAACATTGCCAGCGAAGTCTTAACAATTTAAAACATTAAACATCAAATTCGGCTAGGAAGTGCATATTGTTTTGTAGGGTTAATAAAAAGATCTTGAAGAAATTAGACTAAAAATATTTTAGTAGTTGAAAAAGTACAAAGAAAAAACGAAGTAAAACGCAAAAAAGAAAACTTTCTTTTCTGCCATTAAAATTGGCGAAAGCAAAGCAGCTGTTGGATTAAGTAGTGACTTTGAAAAAGTGTCAATAATATAGTGGAACCGAAGTAAAAATATTTCAGTGCATTCTAATATACTAGATTCGCCAGGCTGTCGCCGGAAAGAAGCGGTGCATTCACAACTTGTGGGCGTTTCGTCATCATAGCCAGTTAACGCTGCCACCACCGTCGCCGTAACGCATGACTCGTTACCCACTTCGGGTGGATGCGCAATTCATTTTGCAATAGCAAGACAACCCATTATCAACGTGTAATTTATTACTATAACTACTGTGCAGCATCCGCAAATTTCCATATTTGTGGTTGACAGTTCCACTACCTTAGTGTGGTCAACCAATTGTCATCAACATGAAGAAGATCTTTTCAAAATTCGATAAAAATGAAAAATTGGATAACTCGCACAATCACTCCACATCGAAGGAGACTAACAGTTTTGTTGGTAAAGTATTTACAGTGGGACGTGTAAGTGTGACCGTGGAAGATGTGCTCGCTGAAGGTGAGTTGGCAATTGATTTTATTGTTTGTACTTATATTATTTCCTTAAGAATTCAATAAAGTTAAGTGGTGAAACTTCTGTAATTTATACCTTTTGTGTTGGTAAGAAAACAGGTGATGTTGGCCTTTATTGTATGGAATGTGTACATTAGGGTCACTTGCCTACACTCTGTTACTTGCACACAATGAATTAACTTATGTATGTTCTTATCTGTGACATTTCCACTCGAGTAAACCAACAGTGCTGATTTGTTAGAGAAGCATTTGAATTATGGAGATTAAGTGAAATTATAGAGACACATAAATGGTATACCGACTGTAAGTGGAACAGCAGAGAATGATAAGATAATGTTGATATCTTTGATTTGAGATTGCGTGAAATATTTGTAGCACAATATTGTGACGATAGCCTCACAATCAAAGATTAAAAAGGTATTAAACACACTTTTGTATGTATGTAATTAATTAATATTAACAATACAATATAAATGTTTGTATGTATTTATGTCGATTTCAACATTCAGCTATTTAAATGAAATAAAATTTAACAATCAATGACTAAACTATTTAACTTTGTCGTCAAAACCATTTCCCAACGCTTCCTTTCATTTTACCTTCAAATTCACTGGTGACCTAGACATATTTCTGTCATAGTTGTTGGTATAGTGGAAACACTACATTGACACGGTCACTAGCTTTCCTATGAATAAATGCGGTAAAGTTCAAAAACTACTCAAGGAATATGCAAAGCATACAAACCTTGTATGTGTGTTTGTATATAAACTCACTCATGTTTGAAACTATATTTGTAAATGCAATATTCTCATACAATGCAGCTAACTGCATAGCGAATTGCGGTACCCCTGTCGACAAAGTGTTATACAATATGCACGCCAAGAGGCTTCTATAAGATATAAAGCACAAATGGAGTTATGCGAATAATTTTAAATTCAGTCAAGACAGCAAAGCCCAAAATTAGAAAATGCTTTATGCGCTTTCATAAATATTTACTTTAATTACCACTACTTCGTCATGCAATAGAATCTATGCTACCGGAACATATTTAATGCAGATGGTTTTTGTAAATTAGCGAATAAGAAAGTTAGAATATACGTATGTACATATATACCATATATATATATTCTTACTAAAAACAAACTTAAACAGAGATCTTGAAAATGCGCGTTCGCTTCAGAATTACTAGCAGTTAGTGTGAGTATGTTTATCGGATGACACAAAAAATCTTAATATGTTCCATAAATAATTTCTTATCTCACACGGTATCTCAAGCACGTTCGACAATGTGCATAAAATTCATTTAATTTCTACTAAAGCTAAAATTGTATAAGAAATATTGCACTGTGCTTTGGTAGCAAAAAATGTTCGACTCTTTTGCCTAAAAGCAACTACGATATGTACATATGTATAGTCAAATTCAGTGTCAGACAACACACTGTTAACCGTTAATAACTAGATTAGCATGAAATAAGTACAGGGATTTGAATAAATTGCTAACATCTATCAATGTCGGATATCAATGTAGATATCTATGTATGTAAAATAAATTGAAGTTTGTTTGAAATTTTAATCTTCATTGGTTTGTAAATGATAACCCAGCTTGTGTGTTTCATACTAAAATTGTTCGTCATAAGAATATCTATATATAAAAAATATGACTTTGTTTTCTAACTGTATATATAGCAGTAAACGTGATTCACGCACGTCGCGAATCTCATGACACGTAGAGCTTTCGAAGAGGACTGTTAGATTGGTAGTTACCACAAGAATCAACATCGCTCCCATAAAAATGTATTATTATTGGTGTTAGCTAGAACTGTATTATTATCATCCCAGACATCTATCGACAGGTCCATACGACAAGGTGTATTAAACTACTGCAACCATAAAACTTAGTCAAATATAGCTAACTAAGAAGTATTTGGCGAAATTAATGCATACCATTCTCTTCATAGTAAATAAAATATAACCTTAAATTGAAGGCAATTTTTGATAACCTCAATTCTTCAATTCTTTCAGGATTATATTCGGATATAATTTAGCTACATAATCATGTTTTCAGAACACAATAAAAATACAAGCAGCTTTCGATCTCATAATAGGTCCAAAATTTTGTCTCGTTTACTTTCATATATAAAGAATACAAGTCAAAAGCAGTGATGTGATTCATTGCTGGCACAATTACTCCGAAATGCAAAAAGAATAACATACATATAAATATGTATAAACATACATTAATTGAGCTAATACAACATTTTGTACGACAAAATTGATTTGTACTGGACTAAAAGAACGCGCAGTATATACAGCTAATTGACAGTCTAACGATTGTCTCTCAGTCGTAGCACAGCGGCAAAGCTACAAAGTTTGAGTTTCTTCAACATTTTTTATTTCACTAAACTTATTGAGGCAACTTGCTCAGATCTCTTTTGTGCACTCATTTTTCGCAATGCTCATACCCATTTCTATGTACATATGTATGCAAGTTTATTTGAATCCATAAATTTATTTATGCATAAGTATACAGTTGGTTTTCGGTGTTTTTTACATTTCTTATTTGGCATTTCGTTTGCTTTCAATTGCAGCAATAGCTTGTGAGCAAGTGTATGCAAATTTGAATTCACTCCAAATTTTCTTAACTGCTTAACTAACCTTCGACATCTATAAACCTGGCTACATTTTCCTAGAACGCATTTGTTTTTCACGCTTTCCTTGCAAAAGTTATTGCTTCTTTAATAGCTATTAATGGTATATTTGCATATTATGGCTACAAAAGCTATTACACTAAATTTTTACAGTCAAGCACTTTATGTTAGAAACTTAACACTATTTATTTATTTTAAAGCATCGTAAAATTAGTATTGAAAAACGCTGCTGAGTTGAATTGAAAACTGGATATAAATTTGAGTCTGTGTTTGTTTCGTAGACACGACTGTCATCTGAACGTGTATAACGAAGCAGCTTAGACTTATCTATCTACTTTCGATTTGCTTCACTCAATTCTTACTGTCTGTACACTCATTTCTTTCCAATTCGAATGTACATATATTCAACACACCATTTGTTATCTAGACAGAGAACTTTTTATACCATGAACAGGGTATATCTCGAGTTTGCCACCTAGTTTGTAACACCCAAAAGAAAATGCCTCTTTTTTTTCTTATTAGCCTGACCAAAAGAGTCGATAAAAGTTGGGAAGGATCTAAGGATCATACGTTTAGTGTTGAATCTAAAACACTTTAGAGAGCTATACTAAGTCTTGGAATATTGCATAAAGTTAAATATACATATGTACATACATACAATTGCCTACATCTTATATCTACTTTCGTAATTTGAGTGTCATAATTTTATACATACATACATATGTATGTATATTAATTAGACCACACTCTACATTGTGATATACAGGGTAGGGTATACTAAAAAATGTATAAAAGCTCAATTTCCGTGTGTTTTAGTTTGCTTGTAATAAGCTCGCTTAAAGGCGAGTTGTCGATTCAATTTTAACTATTACCTCAATTATGTGCACATTGAAGTTAAATATTTGTGCACATACATACAAACATACATATTATATATTTTGACCGCTAAACGTTGATTGCCCCACACTGCGTAAACGTTTTGACCTTGGAATAACGTTCGCTTAGCGTTACATATTATTACCTACATGATTACAAATAAATACAAACACCGTTTTAAAGCTACAGTAACGGAGAAATGCAAGTACATACATACAAACTCATATTTAGTTATACATAAGTACATACATGTGTGTATATATACAGATCTAAAATCTGAAATCTCCCCTTTGAATACTTAAAATGTATTAAAAATATATACACGTGCATGCCATATATGCACATACATATATGCACACACCAGTTAGCGAGTCACCGGAGCAAGTGATACAATTGTATTTGGCGCTTTCGCGTTTACTACGCTGTTGTTACTTATCACTTGTGTTTGTTGTTGCTGGTGCGGTTGCTATTTTGCATATCCACATTATCATCAGCTGCTGCGACACCCTTATCCACATTGTGGAACACTTGTTTGTTGTGTATGCATTTTTGTTGTTGCAATTTGTGCGATATTCTATAGCAAATTGTAAAGTTTTTTCTTTTTTTTGTTGTTGTTGTAAAAACCACATCCCCGCAATGTTCATTAGTTGTCGAAAAACCAATGAGCAACAAAAAAAAACTTTTGATAAGCAGATTTCGTTGCACAGTTTTTATCCTCGCTCTTGTCCCCTAACAGCCAGCTACACCAGTCTAATACATAATTGTTGTTATTCATATTCATATTCTAATAGCGCTGTTTTGCATTTCGCGTAATTTTTGTTTATTTGTGAACAACGCTGAGGTGTCTGTCATTAAAAATGCTAATGACTCGCCACACCTGGAAAATATATAACACAAATCAACAGTTTTGCCTTTAATCCATAGAGTTCTTATCTTTCGCCGAACAGTTGTAAGCCAGCTCCCTCTATTTTGTAATGTTTACATTTCATTTTTGGAGTGTTTATAATGCCCATCAGTTATCAGTCATATCCATTTCTTATCATATCTCTATGGAAATTAGTCTTTCTTTACACACTTGTTCGAAAAAAAGTTCCTTCGTTCCGACCAACGAATTTGGAAGGCGAAAGATTATGTAATAGAAAGGTACGACTACGAAAATGTATTGATACCTATGATGTCTATATTTTGGAATGCGACTATTTTGACTTGTGAAAAAATTATATATAGCGCAATTGGAAGGGATAAATGGCAAAAAAATATCTCTTTTGAAGGAAAAGAAAGTGATATTTAGTCAAGATAATGCACCGACGCAATCGCCGCAATTGTTCGCAGATCTTAAGAAAATGCTCACTGCAAAGAAATTTAGCTACAATGAAGAGTAAAAAGTCGAGATGGAGGCCTATTTGGAAGCAAAAGAAACGTCGTACTATATCAACTTTATTGCAAAGTTAAAAAATTCATTTTCAGTTTGTCGCACTCGAAGGAAACAACTTTAAATATTATACAATGGAATTGAAATGTACCAAAAAAAGTTATTTTCTGTACACCATACAAACTCTTTTCTAGAGATTTCAAGAATATTTTCTAAAAATATACATTGTATTACAAAGATATAATACTGAGAGCTTCGCGGTTAAAATTATTTATAGCGACTTAATCGAAATGCTATGTTTGTACATGCATACATATTTTTCAATGAAGTTGTAAAATGGAAAATCCGCCACTATGTTTATCTTCTCATTAACCGCAAATTAATATTTCATTCGAATCAAACGATGTATTGTATATCGTGTTTTTAGAGACAGAGTCAAATAAACTAAATATGTATGTATATACCATATGTTGGTATATTAGGGTGTGTCAAAAAAAAAGAAGAATTTTTTTTTCGCATGTTACTCTAAAAATTGGTTAATAAACACCTCTAAGAAAGTCTCTCCAAGTATGAGCTCTTAATTGTAAAGGTAAGGTCCGCCCCCTTACAGTTTTCTATATTTTTTTTTCTTATTATCAGATAGAAAAATTCATATCTCGCTTCCAACCACTTGAAAAAAATGCCGTTTTCTGAACTTTGTAGGATATTATGATTTTTTCGTCCGATATTAACGGTTAAAATTTGACTATTTTTTTTTAATATAAATTTGTTTTTTTTCGTTTGAATTTCACAACTCAATGAAAAAAATCATTTTAAATTGCAAAGCTAATAGTCTTGTAGTAAATTTACTGAAGTGGAGTGTTTCCCGAAGCGGACTTTTTAGTTTCGAAAATAGAATAAGGTCACAGAGTCCCAAATTTGGCGAATACGGTGGTTAAGCGAGGACGCACATTTTGAGCTTGGCCAAAAAGTCAATCATAATCATGCTAGAATGTGACGACGCATCCAGACCTTTTGATACGAGTCTAGCATTGACACTTCATATCCAAAACATTAACCGAAATGTGTTGAGTCGATCTATAAAAGATGTTGGGATGCTCTGCTAACTCTCTGATGTCTACACGACGATTTTTAAGTAATGTTTTTTTAACTTTTCGATGTTATTGTCATTAACAGAGGTGAATAAATGACTCGCATTTGGCAAGTTTTCAATGACTTCGCGACCTTCACTGAAGGCTATGTGCCCCTCAAATTCTGGTGTGCATAATAAAGTAAACTCCCCAAACACTTCTACAACTTTTTCAACGTTTCCGAACCCGTAATTCCATTAGAACAACCAAATTTCGAGAAAACTCTTTAATGTTTTTCCATGGTAAAAATTCCTAAACAAACTTTTCGTGTCCTAAACAAACAGCACATACTAATTGACATGAGGAGATCAATATTCACACGAACATAAAAAAAGGTTGTACCAATGTGGTGAACAAATTTTTATCGATTCGGTCTCCACCCACGTCCAGTTTAAATGGATCAGTCCGGGTCAAATTTTTTCAGCTGATTTATAATTTACATAGAACCGTACAGATTAACAGATTTTATTTTGTTCTATATTAAGTAAAATTTTTTTACAAAATTCATACACATCACTTACTTACTTACTACTCCTGCCCTTATTCGCTTAAAATATTGTTCTTTAATACTTCAATACGCCGAACTGGCTTCACCACACACAAATTCAGTACCCAATGCATCTATTTGGATTCTCAAAAGTATTTTTCCTCTTCTTTAAGTCTATAAATCCTCTCCTACCCAAGCATTTTAAATGCTCCCACTCACGAAGTGCATTTGTTTGTGTGTGTAGGAATTATTTGCCGGCTGTAGCATGCCACAAATATCGATTACTTCGCTTTTGACACAAAAACGTAAATACTTTGCCGTGCAAATAGTATAACTTTATGGCACCAAGGTACATATAGACCTTCATATTTACATCTATACATATGTATGTATGTATATATAATATTAGGAATGCACATGTATGTATCGAAGTACATTTATAAAGGCGAGTATCTTCATATATGGTAAATGTGTTTCAGTGCAGAGTATGGAATGAGTAAGACTTTGTCATTAGTACGTTTTGTTCAAAGTGGCCAAGTGGTACCATACTTAGTCATATAGTATGGTTATTACGTACCGCAACATTGACGAACAGTACATTTTTCAATTGAATTGCAATTTAATTGCATTACTTATGCGTATGCAGATGAAACGAGAGTAGAAAGTGCACTTATGTTTTAAGTCCGAGAGGTGTAAGTTCAGCATCACCGTTTCTAGGCCCTTAATAACAAAACGGTTCCGTTTGTAGTAGTACATATAAGTGAGTTATATATAAACTAAGAGAATGGCGGATAACAAAAGCAAGCAAGCACTTTAAGCCAGAAGCGGTTTTCAAAAGCATGCAGAATTCGTATTTTCGGTCGAAGACTTTTGTACCGCTTTAGGCTGAATCTAACGTTTTTTTTTTTGGCGTCCTTATGCAATACAGACTGCAGGGTCTTATACTTTGAAAGGCTTACTTAAGAAACACAATCATGCACGTTAGCTACAAAATACCAGTTATGTCTGAAATTCCGAACTCCGAAATACCCCGAATCTCTGTACGCTGGCTAGTGGAGTAAGAAAGCGAAAGCTCAATCAACCATTCAAAGTTGAGCGCTCCGAACTCTTATCGCATTTGAGCCTACCTAACCCAATATTACATTCAGTAAATGTTTGTGGAAGATTTGTAAAGTATTATTTTTGTCGAACGCACAAATATTTTTCTTTCATCATTCAAGGGATTTTGATTTGCTGTTGAAAAGGGAGTTTGAAAAGATTACTAAACGCAAGATGCCTGCTATAGTATTTTAGGAAAGCAATTCCCAACAAACAAAAAAACTACATTGGGGCTGAAATGTACTTCCAATGCGTCTTGGGAAGTGTGCCCTGTTTGAGTATATAGCTGCCATACAAACTGAACTATCAAAATCAAGCTCTTGTATGGAAACTTTTGTACTTGACGAGATATCATCACGAAATTTGACATGAAGTATTACCCAACGCAAGCGTACATTCGCTACAGAAATTTTCTAGTTCGATCCCCTATAGCGTATCGTTGTCATTCAAACTGAACGATCAAAATCTAGTTCCTGAATGAAAACGTTTGTATTTGTGAAGGGTATTATAGCTTCGGTGCAGCCGAAGTTCACGTTTTTTCTTGTTCATATTACGTTAAGAAACTTTTTGCGGAAAAAATTGTGTCAAAACAAAAACAAAAACAACATGCTGTGCTCATTTCATCCCTTGTTGATCAAAGACAGTGAACACCACGGAATTTCATGAGCATTGAACTATTATAGATTCCTCTTGTACTTCCCGTAACACCATGTCTGCTAAACGAAACTGCCGACTCAAAAGTAAATAAAATCTTAGACCAATCTGCATTAGAACTAAATGAAACAAGCCTACGTTCTACTTCAAATAACAACAATTAACCGAGTATTATTCATGTACATAAATACCGTAATTATTACGCCTCTAATCGTAAGAGGAAAAAATGCGCATTAATTACATTTTGCCTTTCTATTTAATATAGAAAATAATTAGCTTTGTCTAACCTGCAGATTATTAATCACTTTATTAAGCACAAAAAGAATTTCCTAAAATGTGTCTGGAATCGCAAATATATTTAAAGTGTTGCTTTATCACGAAACTCTATAGACATTTTAGTTTTATTATATGTACATGCATTCGTTCGTGTATATCTATCTATAAATATGCATATAACACATATTAGCAGAATATTTTTAATCATCCATGATTTGGCTTCCTTGCAGGTGGTTTTGCCATGGTCTTCCTCGCTAAAGCGAACACAGGCAATACAAAATATGCGCTTAAGCGTATGTATGTGAATAACGAGCACGACTTGAACGTGGCCAAAAGGGAGATTCAGATCGCTGTAAGTGCACAGTTACACACATACCAAGCGCACAAAATTTGGAGTATTAGCTGTCGACTCTGCTCTACGGTGCGCAGGCCATTGTCACGGCTAACATTTCATGCTTTCGTGCTAATTAAATTATTAATAATAATGAAGTATATATATTTATTATTCACTCATTATAACATATAACTAAATAAATATTAAATTATTTGAATCGCTCTTCAGTTAAGCTCCACTATATTGTGTGTGTTTTCTGCCTTTTCCATAGAGTAATCTAAGCGGTCATAAGAATATTATAGGCTACGTAGACTCGAACATTACGCACACCGGTAACGGTGTATGTGAAGTACTGTTACTCATGCCCTACTGCAAGCAGCACATGCTGGCCATGATGAATGCAAGGTGAGTGCTACGCAATTAATTCATAATTAATCAAATAAGTGACTGCATGCGAGCACAACACACTCATACATACACGCTAAACATTTTATATACAAACATTTACACTGGAATAATTAAGATTATTTACGTTTAAATACATTACAGATTGCAGGTTGGCTTTAACGAACAGGAAGTTCTCACCATATTCTGTGATATTTCAGAGGCAGTGTCACGCTTGCACTACTGTCAAACCCCAATTATCCATAGGGATTTGAAAGTTGAGAATATACTGCAGAATGATGCTGGTAATTTTGTACTCTGCGATTTTGGCTCAGCCACAGCGAAAGTTTTGAATCCGCAACAGCATGGCGTCACTTTGGTTGAAGAGGAAATCCAAAAGTATACAACATTATCGTATCGTGCGCCCGAAATGATCGATCTCTATTCTGGTAAAAGTATTACAACTAAAGCGGATATCTGGGCACTCGGTTGTATGCTGTACAAACTGTGCTTTTTCAATTTGCCCTTCGGCGAAAGTACGTTGGCAATACAGAATGGTCAATTCTCCATACCAGACAATTCCAAATACTCAAAAGGCATGCATCAATTGATTAAATATATGCTCGAACCCGACATGGATAAGCGACCGAATATTTGGCAAGTGTGCGAAGTCGTGTTCCGATTGGCCGGCAAAGAGAATCCAGTACAAAATTTGCACGTAAGTTTTCCCAACACAAGATACTTGGGATTCTTTTATAGTTTCAATAATTTAATTAATTCGTCACCGCGAAAAAATTATTCTAGGATTAAAAAAAAAAAATCGCAATCTCCGAACAAATTGTTTAGATTGAACCACTATAGAATATAGCTTCCATACAAACTAATTGTTAAAATTCAAGTCCTTGTATGGAAAACTTTTTTTTATTCGTGAAGGGTATTATAACTTCCATTCCGATTTTTTGCAAATCCTATAATAAACATAAATAAAAAATGAGAATTAAAAATTTTTAAGTATTACGTATACTATCATCTTCCAAACATTAACATTTACTTAAACAACAGAAATCTCCGCCACCAAATTTCGACCAACTCGTCATCCCTCCATTTGAGTCCGAAGCGAAACGCTTAACTGCTGCTGCCGCATCAAAAACACCTAAGCCCCAAAGTGTGCCGATCGTCGAGTCCGGTACGAGTGTAGCGCCACGTCAACGCCCGAAAGGTTCCACTGCTGTACATGGTCCAAATCCATTGGGTCTTGGCTTGCCGCCAAGTCCATCACCACGCAATAATATAACATCGCCACAGCCACAACAACAACCGATAGTTGAACAATTTCAAGCGAATTTTCCACAATTGGCACCGCCAGTCGCGCCACCACTACAACAACCGACAGCAACAACAACCGTGTCTGCAGCCACAGTGGTCATGCCGGCAACAACACCACAAACCTCTGCTATTGTAGTTGCCGCATCTCCCACAGTTGCACCACCACCACCACCACCATCACAACTAACACAACAAACTGTCAACCAAACCGGTATCACCAACACTGCAACAATTGCAGCACAACAGCAACAACAGCCGCCAACTGAAGTGCTGAATAGCCTCTTTGAGTCGTCGGTATATCCAGATCCGTTTAGTGAGAATGCACCGATAGCAATGAAAAATACAACTGTAGACACAGTGGCATGTAGCAGTGGTCTGGGTGTGGGTGTGGGTGTGGGTCTGGGCCTGGGCGTGGGTGGGCTGGGCGACGGTTTGGATAATATAGCTGTGAGCTCTTTGTCAGCACATCATACAACTGTCGGCAACACACCAACAAAGAGCAGTATGCTGACTGTGTCGGGCGTGGGCCCAAGCGCTGGTAGCAGTGGCACCTCTGGACATCGACGCAATGTTAGCGATACGTCTGCCTTTAATAAGTAAGATTTTTCGTGCTCTTATATTTGATTGAATGTTTCTATGCTTGTATCGATTTGTGTGTGTTTCTTCTGTACGTTTTCTTTCCTTCTGCTCTTTCTCGTTTTGTTTTTTGCAATTGCATACATGTCTTGCCAATGTATGTGCATACCTATATGTGTATACCACTGACTTTCCGTGTTAATTGTTTTTTTATTTATATATATATTTTTTTTAATTTTTTCATTTCGACTGTATGGACTAATTAAGGTCAGCCATTTTAGATGAAAAAGAACATTTGAGTGAATAGTCATTGAAATTCTAAACTAACTGTGCGCTTTGTGGAGTCACAATATATTGTTACTCAATTTTTTTTTTATATTATTAAATAGAAAGCACTTTAACTCAACACAGCCTATTCAATCTAAAACGATTTTGACTTGAACACAACGAAAACCACTATTTAAATTGATATTAATAATAATGCTGGTCTTAAAATTACATTACTGCGGTTTCAAAGCTCCACAAATTTAGAAAAATAAATAAATTTTTTTTTTCTAATTTACTTAGTATTCAAAATCAATCAATATATGTGTAAAGCACACAGAACTGAAGAAACTTATAGCAAAGAAGACATCTCGACAGTAGAGTAAACGCCTAGTATACAATAGTTTTCAAATTCAAACACATATTTATGTCCTTAAGTTAAAAACCAATAAATACATAAAATAAGTAAATCCTTGAATGCACTTAAACCATGAGTTATGCGCACATCTTTTCTTCCACTCCACTCTCCACACATCCCTGTTTCTAATCCAATTTTAACATCATTAAATTTTTCTTATTTCCATACACATCATTCTTCATCTATTGCTGTGCTCCCACTTCACCCCTACAACACGCTCGCACCCATTTCTCGGATATACATCACAACTCTTAGAACTTTTGCCAACGAGACTTCTCAATTTCTGGCGCCCTATGATCATTCGGTCAAGAGTCGTGCGTCACACGCGAACGATGCCAATGGCGGCGGTGGCGATGACAGCTTGCTGGTCAATGCAATGGCCAATTCTGGCACGAATTATGGTGGCTCGAATCCAGGACTCTTTCTACCAGCAGCACAAACGCTGCATATGCAAGGCCAAGGCGCCGCCGCCATGTCGGCGTCAATATCGAATGCTGAATTGACAAGCGCTCAAGCGTTACGTAGCAGCATAGAGACTAATAATAGTTTGGCACATACAATCGTCGATGCTGTGGCTGCAAATCATGCCAGTGGCAGTTCATTAGGTAAACGCATCGAGGCTTGGAATCCATTTGAGGAACAGCCGTTCGGACAAATGACAGAAGATCATATATTCGAAGCAGAATTTGATAAGATACGCCAGCGTGGCAGTCAAGGAAGTAAGTCCAACAAGCTCTTAATTACTAAAAACATTCATTTAAACTAAATAAAAATGTTACTTATTAAATTCATAAAGGTATCACAGCTAAGTCGGCATCGACTACTTCAACTCTAACGCCTACTGAAGGTTATGCGACAAGTATGCCTGCAACGCAAACGCAAACAACGTCGCAACAACAACAACAACAACAAACACAACTACCGGTCACGGTCACACCGTTCGGCCCAACAGTTGCCGGCGGCGGCTCGGTTACAGGTGGCGGCAGCGGTAGTGTCAATGCCGTCGTGGCACACATACCCGAGGATCCATTCGGCTCGGCGCCGTTCAGCTTGCCGGCCGGATTGCGCGAGAAAGCAACAACGCTGCGTAAAACTGGAGGTAAAGCATGAAATTATTTTTTGCATTACTTGTTCTACTACATACATAGCAACCGCTGTTTTAGTATGTATGTTAGCACATACTAAGCCTATGCCTATGCCTATGAGTATGAGTAATTGCTAAATAACAATTTAACGTATATACTTCTACCACCATTACTACCACTATTACTTACTAAAGTACCACTCAATTTATCAATGCTAGTAATTCCTGCAAAACAAAAGAAAAATAACACAAATAACAACAAAAATAAACATTTGGCCGCGGCGTAATATATCTAGTCCCCGCATGTACCAAAAAAAAAAAAATATAAAAATAACAAAAATCGTTTAGCGATATTAAATTGACTAATCAAGCTAAAAGCTGCTTACGGCTGATTGCAATATTTTTGGCACAAAGTGCGAAATTCCTCTCCGCTCAAGTTATAGAAACTACAAGTATAGACAAAAAAAAACTTCACAAATTAATGACTTAAGCAAAAATGACAGCAATCAAAACAATAATCAGGCTCAATCTAAGCACTACGCGTGCACTTGAGTTTCTAAATGTTGTATGAGTCAATTCTGAACAAATTACATAATTAATATTTAATGTAACGTTTCTTAAAGCGAAATCGCGTTGTTTGATAATTTTATCAATGAGTATAAATAAACGGTAGCTAGTAGTTCTTACATATTATTCGTACTTCATAATTAGTGTTTTTGTTCAATTATGCAATATATATTTGGTATAAAAAGCCAAAGTGGTATTTACACAAAGCTAACATCAAAATTCTATACTTCAATTGTATAAAATTCGTATTTAAATTAGCACTAATGTTTTGGAAAATCTTAAATTTAGATAAATGTAAATTTAATTAATTTAATGGACCCTCGACAAGATCGGCTTTCAGCGTTCACACTTGTTATATGGACAAGCTAGAAGTGGCACTGTTTAAATATTGTCATCCAGTTTATCAATAATGTGCAATTTGAATTTGTAAACTAATAAAAGTATGTATATATTACTTTAAAGAAATAAAATATTTGGTGTTGGTTTTTAGTCAAAATTAATGTATGCTATGTTCTATGCGCCTATTCTAATATGGTATATTTGATTAACTGGGTTATGGTTTGTAACTATGCGAACGTATGTATCTTATGCTCTCTTCCTTTCAAATTCGTGACTAATTCAATAATAAATACAATAAATATTGAACAAAAAATATTATTATATAATCAACGCATTACATAGTACATATATTTAAGTAGACATGTAAGCATATAATTTACATATCATATCATCATACGCGCATATCTTATTAGAATATGTAGATACATCCGTCATTCGTCGTTATGTATTATGTGTGCTTTCACTTTTAGCTATATTTTTTCTAAAAAAAAGGGTGCTTAATTTGTTGTGGAAACTTCAAAATGCTTACTCTGATATGTATGTATTATATAAATTAAAAAAACAAGCAAAAAACAATAATTTGGGTGGAAAGCAAATCTAGACAAGAATATGTTTAAAAATGTGGAAAATTCAATTTCTCACCCAAAATTTCGTTCAGAAAATATGAAAAGTAAAACTATGTCTTAAACATAATTGTAATTATTATTATGCATCCGAGTCGAACGTCATTCATATTCAAGTTTTTACTATTCTTTTTGCTTTATAAGCAATCTCGATGTTTGCTTACTTCAAAGTTTGAGTTTAACTCAAGCTATTTGTTTCGTAGTTTGGTATTATTGCTATATAGGTACAATGAAATGAAAACACAGCTGGGCTGTTTTTTTTATTTTTTTTTTTACTATTTTTCAATTGAAGCGCATTTATATTTTTTCTAATATTTGCTCAAATTGCACCAAATTCATGCTTAAAGTACGTGGGTTTACTCAATTTTTTTTTTAATATTACATTGCAGCTTAATACAGTGTCTAAATGTATTAAAATATTCTGAATTGGAATCGCTCAAAAGTAGCACGCTTCGTATGAATTTCTAAGCTTTAATAACTGTTTATTGCCTATAGGCTTTTATCAATTAAATAGTGAAAGTTACAAGTTACAATTAATGGCTTAAGCTCTCCTGAAAGCATAGTTAGTTTGTGTTCTATCTTGATACCAAAAATCTTTATATCGGAAATTTAGTGTGAATATAACCTCACATATTTTTTTGAAAGATTAAAAGATAAAACTTAAAAGTAGCAAACAGATTGGGTTCATATCATGACAGTTACAAATCGTTTGGATATTTTTCTTATAAAAACATATAGTAAACCTCTTCTACCTAGTTTAACCAAGCCAAAATAAAACTTTTCTAAAGCATACCCGCATTTTTGCTCGTTATGCTATATATTTACAGCGCAAGATTTTTTACATCCTATTTATAAGCTACGTTTTAATTGATTTAGAGCGTTAATTTATTTATTTAAATACTCTTTCTCAAATAAAATTTCTCTTTTTAAATCACACGAAATGTCCAATTATCCGATTATAAAGAATTTGCTGTTTTTCTGTTCAAACACACACATACTCAAATCATCCGACCAATTGTGAACAGTGTTCCTTTCATCACACACAATTTGTTAAAATAAAAAAATTTGCTTATAAAAAAGCAACATAATTTTTTTCGATGAAATATATTATGAAAGTATATAGAAAACTGTACCTTAAAAATGTAAACGAAAGCTAAACTCACCAAATGGAATGTGTATGACTATTTTCATAAACAAAATTATATACATATACATATATAATAATAAATATATACATAAACTAATTGTTGTCGCAGCAAAAAAAAAATATATATATAAATGATTAAAAGATATTAATGATTAAAAAAAAACGAGAGCTTAAAGAAGAGAGTATTAAGAAGTAAACAGATATGCATATGTATATGTACAGAGAAATTAGCAAAGAATGTGATTCACCAATAAAGAACTGTATGAAAATTAATAGGAAAATAAAACCAAACTAATTTAAAACTATTATTAATAAAGTTATTTGAAAAATGTCATTTAAAAGGAGATTTGTGTAGCATTGTAGCCGAGTGTGAGCACTTTTCAACCCCCCATACTTTCGCAAAATCATAAAGCAGCAACCAGCAACAAGTGTAGATTTTAGTGAGTGCTAAAAAAGAATGAAGAAAAGTGTACCGAAACTCCTCAGCTAGGCTAACAAAGCGCATCTTATGCTCATGTATTGCAATATATACAAATTTTTTGTCAGTAAACGCATTAAATGAATGTAATTATATGCATAAATAATTTTATGAATACAATATATATATATATATTTAAATAAAAACTATATATACATATTATATGAATTATGATTATATGATACTATGAAAATATATATAAACTTATTCAATGACCAAAAATGTAAATTATTCACTTTTAAAAGCAATAACAACAAAACAATGCAACTAGGTGTCGTTCTCACTTATTACCAAATTTGGTTAGAGTTTTACAGTTACAAATATATAAATCACTAAATTCATATACATCAAAGCTTTAGTTAAGTACATATTTTTTAATTATATTACGATTTTCACCAATTTGTGTTTTTTTTATGGTTTACTAATTTATTTTGTATTTTTGCAACACTATGTGCAAAATGGGAGTTAGCTATCTAGGTGGCGCATAAAAACTATCCAATGTGAAATTGATTTGAAGGCATATTAACTGTTAAGCATTACGTTTACATATATTATTTTGTATTTTATGTATATGACGCTTAGTTAAATTTTTCATAACAATGTTAATAGTATTTTTTTTTTAAAGTATTTTTACAACATCTTCGGTTTTGTTTTGTTAAATATTATGCTCTATAATTTTCTATAACATATAAATTTCCACCAAATTTTCTATATAATCATAGTTATATCAGCAAAATATTTATATGTCACAATTATAGTCCTCTTCCTAGAGTAATAACAGCATTCCATAAACATATTTAAAAAAAATTATTTGCCAAAAATTCAAGGTAATTAAGACACTTTTATACACAAACTTGCTTACTACACACACTATGCGCACATAGGTACATATCCGAATTAAATAATCACAATTCTTAACATATACATACGCACTTACATATGTACATAAACTGGGCGAAATTTTATTAAACATTTTTAAATATTTTGAAAATTCTTTTGTAAAAAGTAAAAAGTACTTAATTTGGTGTCACATCTACATACATTTTGTATATAAAATATAGTTTAATATTAAGTTAATGTAATCTGAATTAAGGCAAACGATAGAAAACACTTTTCGATATATAAAGCTCTCTGGTTAACACTGTAAAAATTATCTTGGTGTTCTCGTAATTAATACTGTAATAAAAATGTTTTTGTGATAGAGTCGTCTTTTTACACCCCGAACAGGGTGTATTAAGTTTGCTACCAAGTTTGTAACACCCAGTAGCAAACGTCGGAGACCTTATAAACTATATAAATATATATTAACGATCAGCGTGACAAGCTGAATCGATTTAGTCCTGTCCGTCTGTGCCGCTGTCTGTATATAGCAAACTAGTCCCTCAGTTTTTGAGATAAAAATCTGAAATATTCCACTTTTCCCAAGAAGATGCTAATTTATCGGAACCGCCGATATCGGACACCTATAGTATTATATATAGCTGAAATACAAACTGTACGTTCAAAATTATGTACTTGTATAGAGAAACATTTTATATGACAAGATATCTGCACGCAATTCGTAATGGATTATTGCCCAAGGCAACACTAAAATATCTGATGAAATTTTGCAGATCGGACCAATATATCATATAGCTGCCATACAAACCGAACGATCAAATTCAAGTACTTGTATGGAATTTCGTTAATTGTGAAAGGTATTCGTGTTTTATTGTTTGAAAAACATTTGTTGTCATACAACCTTATCTAGCGCGAGTATAGTAGCCGGTCGGCAATCTTGCATCTAATTTTGGGCAATGGTATCAATCATTTCAAACGTATTGCTTAAAAATGTAAAATCGTGCGGTTTGTCTACCTTTTCAAGTAAACTAAGATCAGTGGCGCATAACAAAAGGCTGATATAGTAGCCAGGGCATTTAATGGACAATTATTCACCAGTTGTCTTACATAATACGAGTGTGAGTGAAGCGAAATTTCAAGCAGAGTTGACACGAGCACAAATGGCATTGGTAGATGCTGTTATAGTCATTTGTCTATAACTTTTCTCCTCCTTATTCGCGTTATTGCCCGTCACTTTGTTTTCAGCCTAATGGTATGTTTAATTCAAATGACTACTAATTTTTAAAACAGGAATTAGTATACGAAAGTCGCCATATGCAAATATTTTTAATCTATTCACTAGTTACTAACCGTACTTTCAGTAGATATATTCGGTCAAGTAAAAAGTTCGTTCGGTTTTCGGATGCCAACTTCATTATACCCTCTCGTAGGAGGCTGCGTCCCTATTTGGCAAAAAACTCGGAGAGCCAATTTTCACAGGCCTCTCTTGAGGCCAACTTCTCACCATTAAGCGCGTTCGCTTTTATTTTTAGCGCGAATAAACACGTTTCAGCGCCGTATAGTATGACATGATGCGACACGTAACACTAGTACTATGGACAATAACGCCATCTTTTAGATAAAAACCGAATTTACTTGACTTAATATAACTAATTTTAAAAGTTTAATTTCCAGCGGTACACATATACTTATATAGAGAATAGTCTTTAGAAAATATGACTTCTATTTTGATTTTGTGTTGGTTTGCAAAGCATTGTACAGAAAAGTTAACAATATGAAATGGTATTGTATTTTCACAAATAGCGTTAAATTTTCTGCAGAGCGAAGTGTGGAAGTAACGTTCTCTGCAAGCTTTCCTTCAAAATTTTACTCGAAGCTGTCTCAAATATAAATATCGGTTTTTCAACCAAGCAATTGTCACTTACTTAGAGATAAACAATACAAAAAAATAGATTGTAGCCACCATGAAAATAGTATTTAGAGTATGCAAAACGTACTTACATACGCACCACTAAGCTAACTGTACATAGTTCATTTGTTATACTGCATAAAAGAACTTAATCTCATTTTCAGCTAAATTTATCGTCACCGGTGGTCCTTCGGCATCCATGGCTTCGTCTAGTGGCGGCGCGAGTGGCAACATAACGGCGGCATGTGGAACTACATCATCGACTGCTTCGTCTAAATGGTTGCTATCACCCACGCTCGAAGTGTCGAGTGAAGAGAAAACTTCTTTGATAAATAATCTCAAAACCGATTCGGAAGGTGGCGCTGACGGTGCTTTAGGTGATGCACTACATTGTATTGGTGGTGGTGATGGCGATTCTGTGGCCACCTTGGCTGGTGTAGCATTGCCGAGTGGTAATTTTGTCAAACTTCCATTAGAGGATCGTAATAAGTATGAGAAATTGCGTAGTAATGATAATCCCACTTCGGATGATTCCGACTCGGAGTATTTTCAAGAAGACTATGGCAATACGACTGGACCTAGCAGCACAAAAGCGATTTTCAAACAAATTGTCACCAACAACATACCAGATACTATACATAAGATACAGCAAGCTGCTTATCACAAAGTCGATAAGACACAATTAAAAGTGCCTATTGTTAAGAAATTACGTCATTCCACTAAAAAACCGACAACGGCCGCCCAGCAGGCTGCTCAACAAGTGAACGCCGCCTTAGAGCAACATGAACAACAGCAACAGCAAGCGGCTGCAATTGCTGCCGCTGCAGCAGCAGCTTCGGGTGATAAGTCGGATAGCGAAGATTCGATCGGTTCTGCAAGTGATTTGCGTGCCGAAGATGATGACTTTTTCGACGAGAACGATTTGCAAACGCGCAATACAAAACTACGCCGCCCCGTCATGGATATGGACGGTATAAGTGAGAGCGTTAAGACGTGTAGTTCATCGGCTTACCATGCGGAATGTGAAAGTGTCACTACGCACGAAGATGATGTTAGTCGTGTGTTGGTGAAGGTACGTTTGCGTAAGAAGGATCGCACTGCGGCCGCTGTGGCAGCAGCTGCTGAAGCGAGCGGCATTACAACGCGCGAAGATGAAAGTGAATTGAGTCCGACATCTAATGATTTTCTCAATAAATTCGGCGATAAACCATTATTGCTCGATGATGAGTTAGATTATGGTTCTGGTGATTCCGATTCAAAAGGTAAGAGTAGCAATGAGACGGAAGAATCGCCGGAAAATGCGCCATTGCCGAATTTAGCCTCAAACAGCAATAACCAACCGGAGGAGTTGGATGTGTTTGCGATGGCGCCGTTTAAGATGCCCGTGGGTTTACCTTTGAAAAGACGTACTTCTAAAAGTCAACGTTCGCTGCCCAAAGTGCCGGCGCGAAATCCGCCGATGCAATCGCATTCCGTTGAAATTTGGACATCGACGCCAGTAAAAAGTGTCGATAAACGCACCAACTCAGTGGATAATTTTGCTAACTTTCCTTCGGGTCCGTCACCGCAATTGGACGAATTTAATGAACCATTTTTTAATCCATTTGTCGAACCGAAAATTAATCCGAATACAGTAATACCCAAGTCTCATGTACAAAGTTCGTCCAATTTTGGCACTGTCACCGTTATATCGACCGCAACAGAAGCGACCAAAGAACCTACTACTGCAAAGCCAATAGCAGCAACAAATTTTGTTGCGAAATTTCCAGCAACGGAGCGACCGATGATCGAGTCAAAGCTGCCAGCTAGCGAAGTGTCTGCACCAGAACAAGATCTCTTTGGCTCCGAACCATTTCCACAGGTAATTCGTAAATGCATAATTGTGAACCCAATAGAAGGTGTCAATGACAGCGTTACAAGAAATAAAAATAACAATAATATTGTGCAAATAAAACAAGTTCAAACAACGGCACTCAATCCTATGACTCAAACTCAAAATCAACATTCCGGTTTGACAACCATTCCAACGGTCTTTGGCGCACCAACAATTCCACAGCCCAGTGGCCCGGCGCCACAACTTGTTACAATCAACCATTCAATAATTATCAACAAAACACCCGAACCATTGCCGAACTCCTCACTGCAATACCGCAATAATATCAATTCAATTCAATTCAATGCTTCCACAACAGCACCTCCATTGAGTCTAACAACAAGTGGTGGCGCAACTAGCGCCTATATAAAATTGCCTGCAACTATAGCAACGAGCGCAAACAATATTACCACCGCCAAGCATGTTAATATCAGTATTCCCCCGCCTAATGTTGCCGCCATCAATGTACCCGCTTCCAATGCCGCCATCGCCGCCATGCACAAGCCAATACTCAAAGCGAACGCTCATGCTACCAGCACACACGGTGGCATCGTACTCAATATACCAAATAGTATGTCCCATTCCGTTTCCTCCACCACATCTGCCAGTAAAACAGCGCAAACGCCTAGTAATACTTCCATCGGTGGCTCATCCAGCATGATTACGCATTTAAAAATGACCGATCATCAGTCATTGTTTCCAATTGCCGATAATGGTTTTGTACAAATCTCTCAAGATCGTTGTTCGGACTTTGCCACAGACGATGAGGCGGAGCCGGTGGTTCCGCATGGATCGCATGCTGCCGACATGGATGCAATCACACCAGCAACAACAGCATCCACGTCAGCTGCGACAACAACGATCCTCAACAGCGCCCCTCTCACCACAACAAAACCAAAAAAGGAAAAATCCCATTTGGGTGTGAGAACACTGCCGGCTAAAATCACACAAAAAGTCAAGGGACACACATACAAAAAAGTTGTCTCCGCAAGCGTACTCGGCTCAACCTCATCACTCACTTCTAGCAGCAAACAGAAACATCAACGTCTACAGAGTCAATCGCAAGACGATGACGACGATGATGATGACGACATCAATGAGGGAAAATATAAAAATCGCTCAACAACAAACATCTCAACCAACAGTTCCACAAAACATTCCAAATCTACAACAAGTGCTGGCGTTGGCAGCAACGCCAAAGGCACAAGTGCCTCAGCCAATGCGGCGATGACCAGTAGCTTCCAATCGAATACAATACAAAATTCAGCGAAAACCGGCTTTAGCAATATGAGTTTCGAAGATTTTCCATCCGATCAAGAGATAGATCGACTCTCTAAAACCATACCATTCGAGGTGGTGCGCAATGAGAAAATGTTGCTGGAAGCCGAAAAGAAATTCGGTTCGTTGAAGCGACGCAATAATCTATTCTCCTAGAAGCGAATTGCCGAAACGAAGCGATCGTTGAAACGCGAATTGAAACAAGTACTACATAAAGTATTGAAAAATTCCAAGGAGTAAATAATGAAGTCAATTAATAGTGAATGTTTATAGTATATCTAAATATCTAGGTGCATATACCTACATATACCTATGTAGTATTAAGTGTAGAGTTATATACATGTGAGATATAGGTGTGAAACGCAAGCATATGTGAATTGCTGAAAGATAATGGATATGAAAAGTAATATTTACAACATTTTCTAATGAGTAGTAGGCAAAAAGGCGGAAATGAAATGAATTAGGGCATTCATACAATGTCATAAAATATTCGTATTTGAAATTGAATTTTTAATTTAGTATTGATAGTAGTATCAAGTAATAGTAACTCGTATATAAGTTTCGAATATAACGCAACATTCAACATAAAAACTGTTATCACCCGATATGAAAGGGCTATTTTATTCGTCGAACACATATATTTTTTCGAATTTGTATTATTTACTTTGGAAAAATAGTTTTATATGACTAGTACGCGTTCTGTAACGTTTTTATGACATGTTGTGAATCCCCTTAATGATAGCGGAAAACTATAATATTGTTATTAACTTAATATTAGATTTATATATTGAGCGATTACGCATATTTCAAAGCGTTTTTGCTACGAACGGTTTATGTATATTCGAACGAAGTTCAAGAAAATTTAAAAATTAAGTACATGCAAATACATAACTGTTATACAGATATACACATACATACATAGATCCACATATAGTTGCAAACGTTTGAATTTGTTGAAGAGCATTTCAATCATACATACATATTCATAAAGGTTTTATAATACACTTTTGTATTTTTTAATTATTATTACCATAATATGTATTACAATTCATTTTATAACTGCAGCATTTTGACTGTTAGAAGTTTTCTAATGTCTCCATAAGGAATATTTATGTATAAATCGAAGAGAGCCAGTCGAATATGGCAGCTTTGTTAAAAGCGAAAAAGTGTATTTAAATTTATATTTAAATCAATAATATAATATGTATATTTCACTATTATTTATTAATATTCATTATTTTTATTTACAACTAACAATTTTTCAACTAAGAAGTAATAATAAAAAAGCAAGAATATTCACATTAATAGTTACACATACATATTTAAAACAGGAAAACAGGTGTAACTGTAATTCTAATAGTTTAATATAGGAAAATTAGATAAATATTATTTAAATTATTAATTTGCGCATTTTTAATTTTTTCAAATTCATGAACTAAAACAAAATAAAAATTGTTTGTTTTTTTTGTTAAATGCATAACATTAAAATAAAGTTTGTTTCTCGAAAAAAACGTTTAGATATTTAACTTCAAAATATTTAACTTGTAAATCCTATGCGAATACTAAAGAGTGTAGTAACAAAAAAAAGTATTGCAGACGTTTTTAAACAAATTCGAATTGGGCGGTTGTAGCAATTATACTTAATAACTCCTAAACTAATTACCAAATTTGTATAAATTTTTTAAAATTATGTTTTATTTTTGATTGCTTTTTATTCACTCACCTTTCTTAAATGCATACCAAGTCAACATAGTGAATTGAAATCTAAAAACAAAGATAATATATATTTTAAGGCATCCATAAACACAAGTATGGGTTAGTATTTTTATTTATATTACTATTTGTTAATGGTAATATATGTGGAAAGTTTTGCTATATCAATGCGTTTCGTAAAATAAATAATTTTATTATTTTAGAAAACAAGTATCAGCACATAAACTCGAAAACTTCTCGTTACCTAATCATTTTTTAGAGTATTATTAAACAATTGAAGCAGCAATATAGAATATTCTGGCAAATTGCATTAACAAAAAAATTAATTCATCTAATGAATGAGTATATTGAAACATGAATATATACACAAATGAAAAGATACATTCACATATAGAAAAAACTATTGTATTTAAGAGAGCTTTTATATATATTGTATTGTATATCTACACACATACCTATGTATATTGTATATATAATCTCGTTTATGCTATTTACGGTAATTAATTTAAATAAAAATAATTTACGTGCATATAAATTTATTTAAAGAAAGAACAATTTCGTTTTAACAATAAAAAAGAAAGAAAGTAAAAGCAACAAAAAAGCATTTAAAAATTTATTTTTAGTTTTTAGAAGTATGGAAGTGTACACAATATTTGATTCCCATTCTTTGCCGTTATATAATAATTACATATTCCTGTTTTCTTTATTTATATCATATTCAATCTGCTTTACCAAAATTACTTTATATAAATCCTATTAGAATTATGCTTGCAGTGATTTCATTCGCGTATCATAATTGCTGTACGAGTTTTCATATGAAATTGTAAAAAAAATTTAAATAAAAATGAATTTATTATTTTGTGATAAGTTATACATATAAATGGTATGTGTATGTACAATATTATGCTTGCATAAAGCAAAATGAAATGTTATATTTATTTATAAAAATGTAAAAGATTAAACAAAATTAACACACTTTCAAAGAGTTGAAATTCAAGCAACATTGTAGTCAGTCGAAAAAGTGCATATATATTTTTCAATTTTGAATTTCTTTACCCATTTTCTCGACATGTATGTATGTATTTATAAAAAATATTTATGAATAAAATTGTATATCGTTAAAACACAAATATATATTTTTAAGCTTGCTATTATAACCACAAAAATAAATACACTTATACATATACATACATATGTGCATATAGATTATTGTTTCCATTATACATACATATGTAGTACTCAATGACCAGCTGCACATTGAAATGTCTTTGTCCTCAACAAATTTATACTTTTCGCTGCGTTGCTATCTATAATTAACAAGTTACATATATATTTATGTTAACACGTGTATTGTAATATATACATAATACACTGCACTCTTATACAATACATAGATGCCTACAATAAATTATGAATAAATGCCAAAACGAAAATTCAACAACTTTACATTAAATTTTACACTAACTGTGGTAGTATGTTCGTTACAGGCAAGCTAATAAGCATATGTGCATTTTCAAAGTTGAGTTTTATTAATATACTTTCAATCTACATTTTATTTTATTTAACGCGTTCGAGTTAAACTTACAGCTAACAAAATAAAAATAACAGGTAAATGTTTCAAAATTACAAGCATTGATCATATATTTTGCTTATATTAAACATTTTAAGACAATATTCTCAAGCACCGAATCATCTGTTAAATTCCTAAACTAAATTTAACTACATATCTGAATCAAAGCAAAGGTAAGTAAAAAAAATATACGCATATACTTTATAATATGATTACAAAATTATAATAATTGCGAAATATGAAATAGTGAAGGAAATAAGAAAAAAATTATATGTATATTCAGAATTTTTGCACCATTTTTTAAATACTTAGATTCTTCAAATAATTACCGTTAAAGCTGTGTAGGCGCATAAATACATATACAGATACCTTACATAGATATTAGATTTAGGGGACGTTAAAAGTTAAATAATTTGAAATTGTGTATGTAAGTCTACTCTTTATGAATTAGAAGTTAAATTGAAGCTAAAAAATTATGACATTTTTCTACATAATAAATGAAACATTGAAGTAAGCTTTATGTAGTAATGCACCAAGTTATTTGTTGCAGCATTATCAGGGTTTTCTAGGCCATGGTTTTTTCATAAGGTACCGTTAGAGTTAAATATAAAAATTATACATACAAACGCAAATGCATAAGTATGTATGTATAAAGAAAGTTCCTCCTTGCAAAACAAAGCTCCTTCTTGCAAAACAATTAATTTAAATATATAAATACATATTTATTATTATTGAGAAGTGCAGAAAACAGAAAGTGGAAAGCAGTCAAAAGGTAACATAACAAAAACAGTGGGTAAAATCAGCTGTTCGAATATTGGCTGCGGCAGTTGTTGCAATTCGCAATTTACACAGTGCAAATTTGTTATTGTTTGTCAATTCTTTATTAATCCGTGTACGTACGATATACACAAACAACACATATGTTTATGTATATATGGGTATAAGTATTTTTTCCAGCAATTGAGAGCAGCTTATGACGGGATGCCGTTTTTTATTGTAAAAGAAAACAATTTTATTGACTGAAATATTCAAAAATTTATTTATGAAACCTAAATGTAAAACAGCTGATTTTGATATTATGATATATTGACAAATTGTTTATTTTTGGTAATTATTTATTTGAAGTTATAAAACGAATTATATTAACTGAGATGCATATATCAACAATAGTATTAATATAAGAATACATTTATTTACAATAAAAGAAAATATTACTGGAATACACTAAATTGGCAATTATGTTAATTAAATTAAAAATTAATAAAATATTTTCAACAACAGTAATAATTTACAGACAATTTGACAGTTTTTTACGTTGCCTCTGCTCATTCTGTAAAATGCATATGACGTCATAGTTGGATGTCGTTATCTTGTTTCCGTCATTTTTGGTCGCAATCTTTTGTATATCATTCTTGAGTCGGTTCCGCAATCTTGTGTTTATCAATCTCGGATTACGACTTGCGTGTGCAAAAATTCTGTAAATTCTTGCAAAGCTTTATGCTTAAACAGAAAGCACACATTCACATATTATAAGTACATAGCCGTGCGTAAGTGCAACTTATCTTCGTTAAAAAGCTATGTAGATCAATATCGCAAATACAATAAGAATAACAAAGGGTAGTGCTTGGTATCATATTGAAATTTATAAATACGCCAATATTCACTGAAAAGCACACATTGTGCTATGTCATAAACCTTTTCATTAACTTGCTCACTCGCGAAAAGAAGGAAACTGGTAAGTGCTTGATTGCATGAACAATGGAAGTAATAATCTTCATTTAAACGACAGTAAAGAGATTCATCCTTACGTTCCATGTTACTTCTAATGACAAATAGTTTTTATATTATTACTTTTTTGTTTTTGTGTAACAGATTACGTTTCATTGTTTACGATGTCGCCGGCTTCAAATATTTTGGTGAAATGCGGTGGTTTTGCGACACAACTTGCACGTCATGTACAGGAAAAAATCGATGGACATCCATTATGGGGTGCGCGTTTTGACCAGGAAAATCCAACAGCTGTAGTTCAAACACATTTGGACTTTCTTCAGAGTAAGTTGGAAGTATAACAAAAATATCAAACTCAAAGTCTACAATAATTACTTTCATGCAACCAGGGCAGTCCATGCTAGAAACTTCCACTTCCACGCACAAATTAAAGCAGGATATAAAAGGGCTTTAAAAGGTTTTTTTGAGTACATTGTCAAAGTTTTGTAGGCTGCAGCTTGAACAGCCCTGTTTTGCACATATTTTGCATTTAAATAATTTTTAAATATTTTAAATAGATGGCGCACAAATTATCATATCCAACACCTACCAATCAAGTATTGAAGGTTTCATGGAGCATTTGAAGTTGAGTCGTGAGGAAAGCATACAATTAATGCGCAAAAGTGTACAACTAACTAAAGAGGCAAAATATAAATATCAGGAAATAGTGGAGAAAACTAAGGGTACTCCAGAGCCTGGTTTGCCACTAATAATGGCTTCTATTGGTCCATATGGTGCACACTTACATGATGGTTCTGAATATAAAGGCAGTTATTCGAAACGCGTTTCCAGGGAAGATATTCAAAATTGGCATCGACGTAGGATTGATGCCTGCCTGGCAGAGGGCGTCGACGGCTTGGCTGTGGAAACAATACCTTGTCAGGTATATGAGAACTTTGAATATTTGTTTTTGTTATTTTTTCTAAAATATTCAGTTTTATTTATAATCTGTCTTCTAATTATAACGACATGTTTTTTATGTAAATAATTTTAATATTCTAACGTTATTTTATTAGATGGAAGCTGAAGCTGTTGTTGATATGTTGTTACAAGATTATCCTGATGTGAAGTTCTGGGTTTCCTTTCAATGCAAGGTAATTAACGAAACTAAGTGGATTGGATGGAATGGATTAAACCTTAATAATATTTTGTATTTCAGGATGACGAAAGCTTGGCTCATGGTGAACACTTTTCTAATGCTGCTTATTCAATATGGAACAAAGTGAAGGAAGCAAATGCTGTTGACCGGTTAATTGCTGTTGGTGTAAATTGTCTAAATCCAAAGGTATTAAACATTTTTTCAACACCCAGAAAAAAATGTCGGAAACCCTATAAAATATATATACATGTATGAATTATTAGCGTGACCAGCTGAGTCGATTTAGTAATAACGAAATAGTACCTCAGTTTTTGAGATATCGATCGGAAATTTCACATACAATCTTTTTCCCACAAGAAGTTGCTCATTTGTCGGAACTGTCGATATCGGACCACTTTAGCATATAGCTGTCATACGAACTTACCGATCAAAATCAAGGTCTTGTATGGGCAAGATAATGGTACAATCTCCGAACAAATTGTTAATATCGGACTACTAAAATCAAGTTCTTGTATAGAATTTTTTTTAATTTGTCAGAATATCGATAACGGTACAATATCCGTACAAATTATTCAGATCGAACCACTATCGCATTTAGCTGTCATACAAACTAATTAATCAAAATCAAGTTCTTGTATGGAAAAGGTTTTTTTTTGACAAAATATCTTTCCGAAATTTGGCATAGATTATTGCCCAAGATAACTGTACAATTTTAGACCAAATTGCTTAGATCGGACCACTATAGCATGTATGTATGTATGTAGCTGCCATACAAACTGACCGATCAAATCAAGTTCTTGAATGGAAACTTTTTTATTTGTGAAAGGTATTTTAGCTTCGGTACAAGCGAATTAATGTTTTTTCTTGTTTAGATTTTTTTTTTTTTGATAATAATGCGTATAGGAGTGTGAAATTCTCAATACAAAAGCCATAATTGAAATAATTTGAAATACTCCTTTTCTTTCAGTTCGTTAAGCCACTCTTTAAATCTCTGCATACACTAGCTGGTACCGAATCTATACCTCTTATTGTATACAGCAACCGTGGAGAAATCTATGATGAAAAGCTAGAAAAATGGACTGGTCGCGATGAATGCATACCACTGGACTCATATGTACCTGAGTGGCTTGAGCTTGGCGCACGAATTATTGGCGGTTGTTGTCGCGTTTATCCCGAAGATATATTACGTATTAGGAAATTGATTGATAATATGGAAAATAATGTCTGAGAGTTGCACTGAACTTATTTATTAGTTGTTAAGTTTGATGATTATATGATAAATTCAATAAAAATTTGACACACCATATTTATAAATTTGTTTATAAAAAAAAGCGTCTAACCGTAAGTGCAGTAACCTTTCTATTGTCGTGAAACATGCGCATAGTGCACCTGAAGTATATGCCACCAGCGAAAGCAGCTTGAGCAAAGGTTACTGTTATCTCACTTAGTTGCTGATTAGAGTGCTTTAAGCTTTAAGTTTTTTTTTTATTTAATTTAGCAAAGTTACTGAATATTGTATTTTTATTTAATTTTATTCCTTTGATAATCACATATGTATTTCGTTTATTTATTATACGTGTTTACGTCTGGCAGTTTTTGTACTTTTGTCCATGTGGTACCATGTGTCGTTATCAAAACTAAAAGTATATATAGATTTTCAACACAGTTGTACATACAACTAAGCTTGTCTGGGGAATTATATAAAATCAATCTTAAAATATTGCATCAGATTTAAGTTTGTTTATAAATCAGGGAAAAACAATAAAACCTTTGGTTTCAACCGGCAAGTTTTTTATAAAAAAAATTATGAAAATTTATGCAAAACAAAATAAGATAGAGTTTATTTAAAATTTCTGACGGAAAATTGAGGAGTCGTGTTCATTAAGCAGTTAAGAATTAACTAAGAATCAAGGATGCTAAGAATGGCTACTGAAACACTCAACTATTTGGCAGTATTGGTCAAACTTGTGATAGAATACGTACATACATATATGTATATGTATAAAGAATTGGAAAACAGTAACGTTCTTTGAAATTTAAAACTAATGTTTAGAAGACTTGAATTAATTAGTAGGTTCGTATTGAAATTACTAGACTGTTGAGCGTTATTTGCTTCAATTTTTCAAGTTAATTAAATGTAATCTGGGAAATCACTTACTAACCATCAACCTCTAAGAATGTTCGCCACCAAATAGTATGAAAGTCATTATTTGAAAAATTCTTAAAGAATTTAAAGCATGTATTTTTGTTAAGATCACCCTTGGTAAATTATTCAATTGGAAATATTCGTTAAATAAAAACCAAGTATTTATATTTTTCTTAGAGATGTTGAATGAATCCAATCTCGAAAAATACTGCAGGCAACTGAACTTGAACAGTTGATTGTTTTTAATATACCTGTATACTACAAATATAATAAGGGATGGTAGTTATAGATAATGAACAAAAAGGAGGACCAACATATCATAACACAGTTTGTTTGGTATACGATTGCCTACCGGCTTCCTTACTCCCGCTAGTATACATACGAAATAGGTGTGTTAATTACCAATGGACATATGCTATTACCTTTAAATTTAGAAAAATTTATTAAGACCCTTTAACTTTACAGATTTTCTTAAGGCTTAGTTGAAGTGAAACTACAATAAATAAGCACATTTACTTTCCGGTAACTTGATAACTAAAACTGATTTGAATGCTCTTAAACTTCACCTAGGCCCCAAATAAAAGATATACACATGTATGTAGTTACATCGTCTCTGTTTTCTTCAATTGAATGTAAAATTTTCACATCTGCTCGAGCCAAGCTCGTCCTTATATGTTTACTTTTTTTTTATATCCTGAATAGGGTATATTAAGTTTGCCACGATGTTTGTAATACCCAAAAGAAAACGTCGAAGACCCTATAAAATATGTATATAAATGATCAGCATGACGAGCTGAGTTGATTTAGCCATGTCTGTCTGTCTGTATATACGCGAACTAGTCTCTCATCTGAAATTTTGCGCACGTGCCTTACTCCCCAAGAAGCTGCTCATTTGTGGGACTACTATAGCATATAACTAACCGCTCAAAATCATGTCCTTGTATGGAAAATTTTTTATTTCACGAGATGTCTTCACAAAATTCGGCATGAACTATTATTTTAAGCAACGGTAAAGTCTCCGAATAGTTGCCATACAAACTGACCGCTCAAAATAAATTTCCTGTTTGAAAGCTTCATTTTTTCTTGTTTCAATATATTTTAATCAGAAAAAGAATAATTTAACTATGTTTTAAAGTAATTTTACATGTTATTTTTATATCGGTATAGTACTATGCAAACGATAATGTGCTGTCTGTTTTGAATTAAGTCATTGAAAACAAAATGCTTGCATATTAAATAGGCAGTAACAAAAGTCATTTATTAAATTCTCCAGATTTGTATTTCTTTATGTACATATTTATATACATATTTACAAGTGTATGAATGTACATATTGATATGAATGATCATATTTTATTATGCGTATTTATATAAACCCATTGGTGAAAAATGTAATGGCTAAGCAAATAAAGACCCATATTCGAAATAGAGTTATATGTATATTAGGGGAGTTACTCCTTAACCTAAATAACAGTTGAAGAGTAATCTCAATAAACTATACACAAAAAACTACAAGCAGTTTTTCAAGTTATAGTATACATATGTAGTACCAGTTGGTGCTGGCATTTACTGGATACGTCCAAAATGCAACTAGTTGTAAAGTAGTCTGCTTGGCAGCCGATTTGACATGTCATAAGTATGGCGGAAAGCTGCGGAAAGTGTTTGTGCAAAGAACTGCTTATCAGTTTTAGTAACAAACAATAATAATCTCTATGCCAGCAGTCAGCCGGTTCAATGATAATTGAAATTAATTTATGTACTTACACATATATACACAATACACGCGTATATGCGCATGTTTTTACAATATGTAGTATTTATAAGTACGGACGTAAACAAGAAAATAAAATAAAAATAAAAATACGTTTGCACGTAAACGACGCCTTATCAATACTCATTGATATGAACAAAGTGAATATATGTGTATACAAGTAAATACATTAAAGGCCACATTGTTGTTATATGTATATGATTATATACCGTGCAATAATACTCCCTGTCAGAAGCTGCTGATGGGATCACTCACCAATACGCTCGCATTTGTTAGATCAGCCTTGACTTGTGGTTCAGTTGACCATAAGTACGTCTTCTAATGCTAACCAAAGCTTTAGATAGGAAACTCATAGAAGCTCCTTGTAGGCCACTCTTGCGATTTGATTGCTAAATTCAGAATCACCGGAGTTTTGGGTAGTCTACTTTCTTACGAACACAAGTATTTCAGTGGCACAAGCTTTCAGCCGAAACTGTCCAACAATTTAGCGAATGGCTCTTTTCCGAAAAGCTACGTCAAAGGACAGTTCAAAATCAAGGAGATGCTCATTGTTTTCTTTAATTACTGAACACGAAAGAATCATCGCTCAGCCAGATTAAACTACCTGTGATTTTTTACTGTTCTCATAACTGAAAGATTCGCTTTGGGTAGCGCGTCAAGTGTCCATTGAAGCCGTTAAAAATCATACGCAGAAATACAATAAATTTTTTCGGCACTGACTATCAAAAAAATGGTCAAATGATTGGCATTATTCTTGCAGGGTACAATGTATATACTTGTATATATATATGTATGTAGTAATATATAGCCTATCGGCTACAACTCACTGCCAGATGTACACCATATTCGACTAGACTCTATATGATACATGTAGAGCGACGAACGCGCACAATAACAGACGCTGGCGTTATAAAATCCTTGTGATATATGCAAATCGAAATAGATGTACGCGAACCGCACATCTGTTTAGACGTGTGATCATTTTTTTGAAATTGAAAATATATGAAAACGCTGACAAACGCAAGAGGCGATTTTCATTAAACAGTTCTCTACGGCAGCAGCAGTGACAATCCACAGTATAGGTACATATGCAACTGTAGAAAATTGCTATTACTGAAAACATTATTCAAAATAAATAAATACAAAGCTATTTGAAAAAAAGTGAAACTAAAGTAATTTTATATAAAACTGTAAAGTTGAACAACAACAATAGCAAATCTAGAAAAGGCAATTTCTTACTGCAATCATATTGTGTGCGCCGTTATTGCCCTCTTTACTGAACGAGCACAACACACACTCATACAAACAACTGACATATCAATAAAAACAAGATAAACACACACGCACAAACTTACATGCACAGTGTATTTTATTTTTAATTATCAATACAGCGTTGCAAATCACTAAAGTGTTGTTAAACAATAGCGCAGACAGGCACGCATAAAACAAAGAATAAAACCAACAAGAACTGAATTATAAAATAAATAAATTTATAACCAACACATTTTACCTACATATATTAGCGCCAACGTCGAGGTAAGTAACAGAAGCATAGCAAAAACGAAGTTTTGAAAATATTATGATGTTCAAATTTTAAAATTAGTGTTTACATACATATGTACATATATGCATATAAGTGCACTCGAACTTTTGGTAAATAATGCATATACAAAAGTGAAAATATGTATACATATACACTGTATTTATATAGGAATCATTTGAGAAAAATCGCACAGAAATGTGAGCTTTACGGTCACAACTTTTAAAAGTGAAATGAGGGCATAGGTAAAACGCACATATTTGTTACACCACTACAAACATATAATGGTAATATAGCACTGTTATATAATGCATATTTTTAGAAGAAAATCTTTAAATTTCTAAATAAATTTTATATTCGAAACTATCGGTTTCAATGGTTTATGCAAAGAGATGACGGGGCGTATGAGTGATTTAAAATTCAAATTAGTCGAATTTCGTTTTAATACATACGAACTTGAGTAAAGCCTAATTAAATAGTAGATAGAGACAAATTTTCCATATATTATATTTCGATTTAAATCTAAATAATATGCATACTTGTGCTTAAAATTGGGTATAATAAGAAGACATGGCGTATGAGTAATCATTTCATAAATTCGATTTTCAATAAAGATAGCGGAGACAGGGTGTTGATGACAGCTAGGTTTATGTGGTATAACTGATCTAATAAGAGGTACTGTGACCAAAATTGCTATTTTCGTACAGTATTTATTAAAATTTTGGTCGCAAGCTCACTTGTTAGTTGCGGCTGTTAAGTCTTTTTCAAAAACGTTTTCATGTTTTAATTTACTACATATTTTGAATATTAACAGGCTTCAATTAACATTTCTTTGTGCGCTGCTTTTTTGTTAAACAATTTACATGTAAAAGCAACAACAAAGTTAACGAATTGAATTGCTACAAGCGTTTACATCATTAAAGTGATTTAACCGCTATCGTCAATGCTGCCAAATCATATGACTTGAAACTAAGAGGTTACTAAAATAATTTTTGCCCCGAAAAAAAAAGGTTTTCAACATATAAAGAAACGCAACACCAATGCACATGTGACAGCGCAGAGTTGCAACGCAATTTCAGCCAGTTTGTTTGAATAACCGGCATAGTTTGTTCGATTCACTACTCTCCAACGCTTGGCGAATCGATATATGTACGTATATCGATCAATGCTCGTTTTAAAAAGGCTTGAAATTTTTCCTACACTACTCACGTAGTGTTATGAAATAAAAACACATTTAGAAGAGATAGTATTTTATGAAATGGATAATTTATACAACTTTCATAGACGTCATACTATTATATATGAAAATCAATAGATAATATACTGAATTTGAAGTCCACACGATAGGATACAATGTATTATTGGCAGATACTATGGATTGTCTAGTTATAATTAATAATGACAACAAATGTTTTTCGAGATAGTTTTACTCGTAAGTTTTTCATAAACGTTTTATTAGCTTAGAAACTTGTTACCAACTGCAATTATTACTGACGAAAATTATTTACGATTTATTGACCCCTAATCCGCAGATGTTCAAGCAGAATTTATTGATATACATAAATATATATATATACATATATATACATATATATATAAATATATAGAAATTGTTGTAGTATATATGTACTTCGATACAACGCGCCAGCTAAATTTTAAAGGGAATCCAGTTTGAATGCAACTTTTGTAAACAAAACTGCAATATATTATATATAAATATAACCTAGCAACAGTTATCACAAGCACAACAATAACGACCCACACATACCTACATATTTATGTAGCACAAGCACCAGAAATCATTGCTATCAAAGTTCATGAACACTGCTTACTTATAGTATTTTATATCATTGTGTGAATGCTCCTAACAACAAAGTTGTTTAAGTTCATTGCACTTGTCGTCTAGATTATATCAGCGTAGTACACAATAAAATATATATAGAAATATAAATAGACACAAAGATGCACATTGTTTCTCAAATAAACTCAAATATTTGCATATGTACACAATACACACACATACATGGTGTGTCGTATACTTATTCTTGAGGAATTGGGTTCAAACGTGATCTACTTCAAAAAAACTCAAAAAGGAAAGCTGTCAACAGAATTAAAAAAAATTAAGCAAACATGAAAATCGATACGTTTCGAAGCGCTCTAGTGGGCATGGTAGGTAAGACTGCTATAATATGACTAAAAACAAACAACGAGCAATATAAGTACTCAACGTTCGGAAATCACATGGACCATAGATAGTATATATTATATAAGCGGCAAGGCAGTAATTTGGTCCAGCTTGAAATGGTTTCACATAGGCAAAAAGACATCACTTACAAACATATATTCATCAATTCAAGTCATCTTGAGCCAAACAAGCCTCACGATAATGAATAGTGAGATGCGAAAAAAAAAGTAAACACGTAAACGTGCAGATATGTATGTTTATACATATAAAGACTTTATGTTAATGAGAGTGATCTACAGAGAGAGGTCTACAGGTATACATACATCTGATCAAATATGAAACGGGCTGGTCTTTTAAAAATGCGCGCGCAAAACGAATCAATAAAAAATAATTTACAGATTGGTACAACATTTTTTATGCTCGTCTGGAGTTTGTTTTGGGTATGAAGCGTGCCAATGCCAGAGTAGAGGTCGCCATAGAGATGCTTGACAATGTAACTAAGAACCCTGAATTCATCAAACGCATCATTACTGGTGACGAGACGTGGGTTTATGAATATGACGTCGAAACTGCCCAACAATCTAGCGAATGATGCTCCGAAAATGGGCATAAACCGAAAAAAACAAAATTCGCAAAGGGCACTGAAGGCCGTTCCACCCGAGGCCTTTAAGAAGTGTATGGAAAATTGGATTAAATACTTATTTTATTTTCTCTGGAGCCTATTTTAAAGGCGATAATAAAGATTTGTATTAATTTCGTGAACATGTTGATTTTTTGATAGTCCGGATCAATTTTGATCAAATGGTTTTTTGCAAAAATTCGACGCGGTGATAGACGATACTGTAAATAGCACTTTTATTTCTATTTTTTCAGAAATATTTCACAGAAAAACATAATTTTGGGGTTTCAATATAAAAAATAAATATGCCTACGAAAAATAATATAATTATTAAATATGTATTGTAATTATATAAATACATATGTATGTATATAATTTCCTAGTGTATGCACTTACATATTTACATATATACATATATTCATATGTATATAGTTTGCGATAAATTATAATTATATATTTTATTTAAATGGGAATGTTCATAAAATTAATTAATTAATATAAATTTAAATTTTTTTCAGTTGAACTTTTCTTAACATGGGCCCAACACGGATACTAACCAAGGACGGCGGTTTTGGCACACAAATGACTGTGCATGTTGGCAACGCCGTTGATGGTGATCCGCTATGGAGCGCTAGATTCAACGCTACAAATCCAGCGGCTGTTATCAACACACATTTAGATTTTTTGCAAAGTAAGCGAAGATGATTTTTTCTTGTCAACCGAAGTATGTATATTCATGTGTGTAAATATGTATGGAGGTATATTGAATAGCTAATATTTAAGTGACTTTGAGCATTGATATGATGAGCGATTTTGTGACAGCGGAAATATTCCAGCAAATAGACATACACACATACACGTACATACATTTAAATATTAGTACTATTTAAAAATAATAAATGTTTTACATACCAACAAATCCATATATATATTTATAGATGGTGCCGACATGATACTGACTAACACTTATCAGTGCAGTGTTGAAGGTTATGTTGACTACTTGGATTTGGATGTGGAGCAAAGCATTGAGTTGATCAAGAAAACAGTGCGTTTGGCGCATATTGCTAAAGATAAATACTTGGCGGAATGTTGCGAAGCGAAACTGCACGTACCCGATGGTATGTTAACAGAATTTACATATAATATTTCACTAATTCTACACATGAAACAAACCACACGCGTTTTAATTTTGTAGTTGTCGATTAATTGCGTGCAAGTGTGTAACGGAACGGAAACGGACGTTCATTGTACACAGTTTTTTTTATTTGAACTTTCGGAAACGGAAACTTTACAAAAATGGTCACTCTGTAGTAATTTTTGTTTTCAGGTTTCCCTCTTATACTTGCTTCAATCGGTCCATATGGCGCCCATTTGCATGACGGCTCCGAGTACACTGGCGAATATGTGGACCATCTAACATTGAAAGAGATTACCGACTGGCATCGTACACGTATTGATGCTTGTATAGCAGCTGGCGTTGATGCGTTGGCCATCGAGACAATCCCCTGTCAGGCTGAAGCGGAAGCGTTAGTAGAAATGTTATGTGATGATTATCCAGATGTTAAATTTTGGATAGCTTATCAATGTAAGGATGAAAGCACTTTAGCGCATGGAGAAAATTTCGCAGATGCGACACGCTCGTTATGGGAACTATTAAGAGAACGCAACGCACAAAGTAAATGCTTGGCAATAGGTGTTAATTGCGTGCATCCGAGGGTAAATTATTGATATGATAATATATTTTAATTTATAATTAAAAATATTTTTTCATTCACTTGTAGTTTGTAACGCCATTGTTCAAAAGTTTAAATGGTAACACACCTGATGCCGAGAAGATACCACTAGTTGCGTATCCGAACAGCGGAGAAATTTATGATGTAGCGAAGGGTTGGCAAGGGCGCGAACATTGTGTACCATTGGCAAGTTACGTGCCAGAATGGTCTAAATTGGGCGCGAAAATCATCGGTGGATGCTGTCGTACATATGCCAGAGATGTTCGTCTAATTTCAGAAAATGTGAAAGCACAAAATAATTCAAGCAGATTAATTTAGTTCATACAAAGATCGTTGATCTCAAAATAGATAAATTATGTAGAGAAATGTACAAAAAATAATTTTATACCAATTTTTTATTTAAAATAAATAAACAAATAAACTATTTTTATGCGCGTATGCTTGTATAATTGTAAACTTAAAATAATAATATGCCAATAATAGCTAAAGTTCGCTTGGAACTAAAAGGTGCAATTAGTTACCTTGAGAATAGAATTTGTTTTAACAGATATAACTCCTAAATTCATATTCTAATATCACAGAATGTTAATGAATAGAGAAGGAGCAAATGTTAACTGAAATCTTTTTGAGTACTAATTTGTAATTCCACATGAGGGAACATCGGAAAATATAACTTCGAAAAAGCAAAATACACCACACAATGTGCGAAATGCTATAAATAGACACAACGAATATTCCTAAATGAAAAATCGTTGCGCATAGCTATTTAGATTTATGTTTTCAATTTCTATGATATGACAAATTTATAATCATAAAAAACCTTCTGAATTAAAAATATGTATTATCGGTAAAAACCCCAGAATTCTTCTCTATTCATTAACATTCTCTGAAATTAGTACTCAAAAAGATTTCAGTTAACATTTGCTCCTTCTCTATTCATTAACATTCTCTGGTATTATACATACTAAAACCAATTCATATGCACCACCCTGTCTTCGAGAGTTTTAGTAACGTTTTGCCATTTCGCAATCGCGCAACAACTATAGCTACTAAATGTCATTCCAATTGTCTTTACACATTAATTTTGGAAAAACGGTAGCGGTAAATTTTGTGCAAAAATAGAAAGGTGTATGCAAATAGAGAAATAAAGTAAGAAAATCAAAACATTCTGATTATTATTTCGTGAAAAGTCCAAGCAAATATCTTATTTTAGTACGCAACATGTTGATTAAAGTGAAGGTGAGTCAAAGTGATTCGTTTTATGTAGGCGACAGAATTCGCGAATCATCGCTTTAGGTTTGCCAAATACTACAAATATCTAGCATCAGTAATGATGATTCTAATATTTAATTGATTCTTGACTAATAATTATTACCAATAAATTTAACTGACACTAGACACTAACCGGCAAGGAAATAGAAATCGACATTGAGCCTACAGACAAAGTGGATAGAATCAAGGAGCGAGTAGAGGAGAAAGAAGGTATACCACCACAGCAGCAGCGACTTATTTTCTCTGGCAAGCAAATGTAAGTTATATATATATAATAATTTACTAACATATATTCAAATAGTAAATATATACATGTCTGCTTGAAGGCTTTTATGCAAAAATTGTACGCTGTAATCTTCATATATATTGTGGGTTTTTATACTAAATAAATATTTTACTTTTATGTTTTAGGAATGACGACAAAACCGCCGCCGATTACAAAGTGCAAGGTGGCTCAGTGCTTCATTTGGTTCTGGCGTTGCGCGGTGGACTATACTTAATTAAGGCATAGAAAAACTAAATTAACATATAATTTAAATAATGGAAATACATAAATGTTGTGAAGCTAAAACATGAATATTTGAGTGTGTGCCCCACAAAAATCTAATTTTCATAGATATAATTTCAATAATATGATGTTTGAACTTGTTTGGAGAAATAAAAGGAAAACAATTTTCTTATAAAAACTGATACATTTACTTCTTAAAAGAATCGTAACAAAAAATGCGGTATTCATCAGTAACTTAATTTAATCATATTACATGTCAGCTATCCTTCGTAATACGTCCGACCAACAAACGATTTTTAGGCGTACATTGCTCTGGCTTTAAACGAGTTAATATGACATCATATCCGACTTCCTCAGCTTGTAGTTTACGATCTGTATCAATTATATCCATACACAACTGTCCTTGACGTGTGGTTTCTGGACGACAATTTAAGGTACCCAACTCATGCGCTTGATCGGCCGTATGTGCTATATATAAATAATCTCTTTCTGTCAATGTTTCGCGGAAGAACTCGCTTAACGGATATGCAATGTGTGGCATTGGTTGCAGTGATCCATAGCAACAAGGACAGCAAACAAATCCTGCACGCGATCGACGACACTGCTGAAGTACTATATCCGTCGCTGTGCCACAAGCATGCAATGATGTACCAATATCAAAGTGTCCCTCGAAATAATCAATATTGCACTGATAAAAGCGACAATTTTTCAGACCTAACTGTGTGGCTCTCTGTTTTGCTCGCTCCAAAGAAATTGCTTTATTTTCCATCAATATTATGATACAGTCAGGTAATTGTAAAGCTAACAATATGCCTAAATGACCTGTTCCACTGCAAAAATCAATGATTCTATTGCCTGGTAGTGCTAATGAGGCGACTGCATTAGCTACATTCTGTAATTGCTGACGTTTACGAATAATACGTTCGCGTGGTAACGCCGAATTTTTTTCTTGGTCAGGTTCTATTACTTCCCAATCGATATGTTTTTTCTCATATGTATTTATGGATTCACTACTAAACTGCAACTGCAACTTTTCTAATTTATTCAGTGCGGCATCTACTTCACTTTGTTCAGTATAGATTCGGTTTCGAGGTTTATAGCGCTTCGGATCGCTCTTATAAAGGCTAGCAGGTTCACAATCCGGTATAGAAAGTAGTGTTGATGATTCATAACATTGTTCATGCAGATACAATTCATTCAATATTCGATAACAACTAGGATCAAAAATGTCGATCTGCATTAAAAATATGTAAAATTAAATAACAATCAACAAACAAGTATCTTTAAGGTTACCTCACTAAGCCATGTAGAGGTTAACGGAAAAAGCACTAGCATATCTTTGCAATATTTAAATATTAAACGAATAAGCGTATATAAAATTATATCTGCAATAGTAAAACTGATGCCTTCAGCAAACCGATGTTCAATAGGTAACTTCTCTTTAGGTACACTGCAATCGAGTATTACTTTGTATTTCTTTTTAGTTCCAGCACCAGAATTCTGTTGTTGCGCCTGCTCACGCGCGGTTTTGTAAATATTATGCATTCGTACTGGTTCGTTCATGTGTCGTTCAAAACGTGGTACTTCCTTCGGAATTTCGTCCAGCCTACCACCCGAGTGCAAGGTAGATAACAATTGATTCATGGCATCCACGATATCAACTTCACAAAATCTTGTCCAAATGGAAGACTCCGCTGGTGCCAGCAAACAAGCACCTTTAAAACCCAATAACTTTCGTTGTTCAACGCATTCCTGCCGCGCAACAAGTTCCCTGCAAACAGCACACATGCCCGCAATATAGGTATTTTCGTCTTTTGCATAAATTGGCAATCTAAGGTCTCTTATGGCCTCTACACTTGTTGCTTCTTTGCAATGAATTTTCTCTTCAGTTAACTCGCGTCTAAGGGATTCTGAACGTAAACGAAGTTTGCCCCCCCGGATGGTTGTTCTAACGAAATTCAATTTAATGTTGGAGGGTGAATGCAGGTACCGGTACATATATAAAGCCATAAAAGACTCTACGCTGCTATATATTTCTGTATTATCATTACGCGTATTTATTTCAATTTCAATATATAATTGATCCATTTTGGTTTATTATTAAAATTTAAACTCAATTATATTTTCGAAAGATCTCTGCTAATTTTAAAGGCGCTTAAAATGAATGTAACTAATTTTTCTTTTTGGTTATGTTTACATACAAAAAGTCATATGGGCAGAAGAACAACGGAATGCATACAATGGAAGGGTTGCATTATTGTAAGCGTATTTTATTTAAGGTGGGAATGTAAGATATGTTAGTTATTTCAGGGTTTCTAGTAAAAATCTAATATTTTTTATATTTTCTGTTCATTGCACATATTTTAATTAATTTTCACTATTCATATGCAAAGGGGAACAATTAAAATAAAATAATTTGAACAGGGTTGTATGCTTTGTAAAATCGTCTGTAGTGTAAAAGCTTTTAGTCGGAAAGCTTTTTTTGCTTTTGTTAGATCAGCTGTTGAACCCATAACAGCCGATTACTACAGATGTAGTAAATAAAAGTAAAGAAAATTTATAATTTTTTTGTTTAATTTACTTAATAATTTATATTTAAACGTATTTGCGGTAAATAGTGTTATGGGTGAAACTAATCTGTCACATGACTGCCCGTTACACACAGGTGTCTACAAACTGCATATCTACAAATGTGCATTTTTATTGCAAATGCAAACAAATTAGCGTAAGTATGTATGGACGAAAATGCAAATAATTGCAATTATTGCAATAGAACGGCTTTTATCACTTATTATAATTGAATGCAATATAAATTTGTAATATTTACATTTATTATGTTCCTAATTTAGGTAAATAATTAATTTTTTAATAGGGAAATACATGCGCTTTGGTGCATTTACCCTATATCAAAAGTATAGATTTTTTAACGGCTGTAATTACTTGTACTTCTCTTTTTAAACATAAATTAAGAAAACAATTTCTAAAATTTTTTTAAGCGGATACTCCGTCAATCTAAAGACACCGCAAAGACAACGATTCTGTCACTTATTTAATCTAACATTAAGTCTAGGAATCGACTTTTCGGTAACGTTAGGGGGTTAGAAAGTAATTCCAGCTGAATAAGATTTTACTTAGGTTTCAAAGAGGTATTAAGTGATATGTGGAACTCATTACATGCTAGACATTATGATAATAGCTTCTTGGACCTGAATTTATTACCACCAAACAAGAACTTCGGAAATATTTTTTGCAAATAAATATTCTGTTTGTATAATTAACATCTTGTACGTTAATATTATACAATTTTCCTGAGGAACCTATTTCATCACTTTAGAAACGATATCAAAACATGAAAATCTAATAGACCTATGTATTAGTAACAACTTTGAGAAGCTGACTTTTCTGATTTGGTATCCTCTATTCTACTCTGCGGCAAAATTCTTATATCGGTCTTACTATTATATACCTCAATCAAGTAAAATCTGACACTAACAAGCGACACTGATGGTAATCTAATTTACTTTCCGACAAATAGAGTTTAGATTACCGCTACAACAATAATAACAACAACATAATCTAATTCCACTTCAAGCTTAACGATATAATTCTATTAGTGCTCATAAAACTTGGGAAAGAATTTTGCATATTCGTAAAGAGCTACTTTTGCATAAGAAAAGTAGAGAAGATTTATAAGATCTTAACCCGCCACTATACACGAACAATATGAACGGAACAATCTGGCTCATATTTACTGATATATACATACTTATGTGCATGAACATACACATGCATACATTTTCACCTACTCCTACGACTATTGTAGAAGGCGTTCGGATTCCGACTAGACACTTGTGACTTATTACTTAACGTTTGTTTGAAAATATTTACACAAAGATATTTTGATTACATTTTATTTACTTGCATTCAAAACTAATCAATTAACTTTTTAAGCTTTTATATTTTAATAAATTTCATGTAGTGCATTATTATGACATACATACCTATTTACAGTCTTACTCGTATATGAAATGTCCACACACCCAAAATCAGCTCTCATTACTTTGAAAGAGGTTGCGACTTTTATACACAAAGATATTGTAAATCTATAGATATGAAATACAATTACTATATACACACACTCAAGACAGATGATGAGTATCACATATTAGCAGTAACAATTTAACGTTGATATTTTGCATTCTGCTTCACAGCCAAATTGCTCAAGCAATGCAAACATTGTTCTACCCATATGAGGCTATATGGAGCAAAGCAGCTTCAGTGAGGCAGAAGCGTCGTGGAGAGAGTTAAAATGAAGCAAAGATAAACAACTTTAACAATAAGAGTTCAACAAATGAAGTACACAAAAAAAATACTAAATAAAAAATAATAATAATTTAAAATAACAAACAACAACAAAGTTTATTAAACAACAAGCAAACAACAACCGCTGCCTTTAGCGGTATGAAGAGCGCGGGAAACACGGAATATCATTTGAGACATACATGTGTGGGTAGCATTCGCTTTTGTGCCGGTGAGCAGTAAAGTGCCTAGAGGCGGCAGCTTACTATACATATTTATTTTTCAAATATTTTGCTATTTTTTATTCAAAGGGCTGACGCGAATAACCGAATTAAAATTCTAAGTCACGAGTCTCAACAGAAACAGTGCAATTTCATATATCATGGAACAGTGGAATAATGTTGAATTGACTAGCTTAAGGAAGAAATCCTATACATTAAATCATGAATATGATTTAGCTAATAAATGCATTGTAGTCAACAGTAAGAGCGACGCGTCGAACACAGCCGATAATAATGTCAATGACAACAATGACTCTAATAATGCCAATCAAAGTAAATTATTACAGCCAGGCTCAAATATTAAGCCAAAAGTGACAGCTGAAAATGTGGAATCGTTAGTGCGACGTCTCTATGGCATAACAATTAATGAGATCAAAGAGTTGATATCATATGATGATCGCAATTATCTAATACAACCGGACTGGTAAGTCTAAATATATAATAAAATTATTTTTATTGAAAAAATGCATCGACCTAAATTGCAGCTACAATATATGTATGTATATGTATAGTACCATCTTCAGAAGTTTTAAAAGTTTTCACATTCGAATGTTTTAATTTCTTTTAGCTTTTGTTAAAAAGGTAGCACATAGCATTAAAGTATGTACATATGTATTTCATGGATATATTTAACTAAAAATTGTGTTATGGTATATACTCGCATATTGTATTACTTACAAACTACCTTCAGTAGCAGGCACGTGACTGAGTGCCATCCGATAAGTCGTAAAGCTTTTTTTTATAGGTGTTATACCGGCTAAAAAACCTTTCATGTATTTTTTTTGTCAAACAGCTTCTAATTATTAATATTTACATTTAGTATTAGCAAGACTTTTAATTTCATATTTAACTTTTAAATTTAGAAAATTGTACTAGAAGAACAGTTTACTTGTGACCACATAAGACTGCACTTGTATATGCATGTATACATACATATGTGTTCGTACCTTTTTACACAAGTTGACATGACACACATATTTTCAGATATACAGTAAGTACTTACACACGTATGCACCAATGTACATAAATATATAGATATGTATGTATCTTCATTGACGCTTAATTTGTTGATGGGATATAACTTTTTTCATTGCATCCATACAATTATAGCGGACAATCGAACGTGACCGATTACTTATCATTTCTATTTACACATATATATGTAAGTATGTATATTTACAATACATAAATTGCTTTCATACATACATACACACATATTTGAATTCGCGACTCATAACTCTAGCCACCGACCGAGATAATAATATGTGTATGTAAGAATGTAATAGCAAGCCTGGAAGTTCGACGCACTTACAAGTGCTATGGAAAAATGGTAGTATAAAGACAAATATTACGAAATGCATATGTATGTAAGTAAAATGCGCATCTTCCATAATATTTCTCACCACTGTACGCCACTTTCAAATGACTGTTTAGAGCTTATGACTCTCTCGCCAATAAATTATCGTCTACAAAAGCTGGTCAATTAGATGTTTATCTAAGTTTTCACTTCTCAAATGAGAATTTACTAAAAATAAGTAGGTAATATTCCCCATCTCGCATTAGTATTAGTACATAACCAATTTATAAAGCTGATATAATTACTTGCAAAGAAAATTTTTTCCGATTAGTTATTTGTGTGTCAATGCACACAAGCAACACAAATGTCACACATACTAATTGAAGAAAATTTTGTGACTATTATTTTTGAGTTTCCCTTACTTTTTGAAAACTAAGCTAATATAACATTTTAAGAGTAGTAGCTCTCATTTCTGTATTTTTTATACTTCTGCAGTATCTGATACTAATATAATAACTATTTTGTATCCAAAGTGAACACTCAAAAATGTTGTTATTGTAAAAAATTTTAATTTTTATTAGTGTTAACTTTTTAGACTTTTATTTACCTAGCGATTTAACAAAATTATGATTGATAATCAACCACACACATAATTTTCTAGACTATATTTAAACGTGAACTAAATTGGAGTAACTTTACTTAAATACTTAAGCGGTGTATATAACATATAATACACATAATAAATAGTAGAAAATACTATGTAACAGCATTACCATATACAAGTATATATAAACGTACACACTAAAACTATACATATACAAAACATTAATGCTTACAACACTACTTCAAAGTGGGTCGTTTTTGGAAGCCAAACATAGTTAAACGCGTTTGACTATGCAGCATAGCGGTTGTTGTGGTAAGCGTAGAATTCGATTTAGATTTTCCATTTGTCTTTTGTGATTTCAATGCCGATTTAGATTTCGTACGCGTTAAACCCAAGCGTTGTTTCTCTTGCGATTTGAAAAACATTTTCGAGCTTTTTGACTTTTGTGATGTTGGTGTTATTGTTTGACTAATATTTTCGTAAATACTGTTATCATTATCTTCTTCACCGGATATCGTTATAACATTATCTATACTATTTCTACTTTCATTATCTAGATTATCATCTGCAATAAAACTAGTATTCAATTTCAAAGTACACGTACTAGCTGCGTCGTCTTCTAACATTTCATCATCGCCTTTTCCAAGTAAATTTTGCTTAGGCGATGGTGAGTCATAAAGCAATGCTAGTTTTCCCTCTTTTTGGCACGATTGCTTTTCTATTGAATTTATTTCAGCTGATAAATCCCTGCTTACACTTTTCTTGGTGCTGTTGACTTCGTGGACATTGTTCGAAAAAAATCGACTCTTAACTATAGCCGTTTCTTGTAATCTATCTAACGGACTCTTAGGGCTCTTTGAGTGAATGCTCTTTCTTATATTAGTTTCACAATGCGCTTTCTTAGGACTAAGTATTTTCAACAGAGATGAGTTTTCACAAACGGTTTTAGCACTTTTCACTACTTCCGTACATTGCACTTTGGCAAAAGGGTTATGGTTATTGTGTGCTAAAACCACATTTTGTCTTGCTTCTGATTTTTTATATTCATCTGCATCATCGTTATTGCTTTCGCTACTATATCGTCGCCGCTTGGCACTTGGCTCTATTAGCGCGGTAGCCTTATATTGATACATAGAAAAAATTTCCGCTTCTTCAGGTTTGGCGCGCTCCACACGCGCATTTTCCGTAATTTCTTCATTAATAAATTTAGTTGAAAAATCTACTTTTCTAAAAGCCAAAGCACATTTGTCGTCCTTCAACACATCCTTCGATATATGACCACTGGAAGTTGGTTGATAACTTTCTTGCCAAATGCTTTTATGTTTGGCGCGTTTGATTTTATTATTTGTTGCCTGTGCATATCGGTAATTTCTATCCGGATGCCAGTTGTCTAATTGTTCAAATGTGAATGGGTTTAAGTTTCCCAACGCAAGCTGCAAAGCGCGTTCTTGATCTTCAATAATTACACCTGCGTTGGAGCAGTAGCGCTCTTCTGTACTGGGTTCAGTGAGTTCATTCAAGCGTGCCATACGCCGTTCAAATGGATTATAGATATACATATGCTTAAATGTTGCCTCTGCTTTATGGAATTGTTCAATGTATTCGTCATCCACCTATGAATGGAATATAATTATTTAGTTGTTGCGTTTTAAATTTGCGCACTTTACAGTTGTCCACAAAAAATAGAAGTAACCACACATTAACAAAACATATCTTTCAATTTTCAACAAGAACCATGTTTTTCGACTAAAAATTTTGGCACAAAATATTCGCTGATGATGTATTATTATTTCCATAGTCCATAAATTTTAATTGAATGTAAACAAAATCTTATATCATAGTTTATGTTTAATAAACTGAAAAACTAATTCCACATAAAAATATGAGTATTCTGTAGTATGTAGTATGAAAAATTCTAATAATTTCAAATTCAAATAGTTTCAAACCTTTACAGCATAGTAAAATAATTTGCTATTATTGGAGCAAAATATTCTTCGATTTCTTGGATCTCCTTAAACATTCTTACTTTTGTAGAATGCTACCCACTGAAGAAAAATCCAACTATTAAATTAACAATAACTAATTGAAATTGCTGCTAGATTATGGAACTCTACTACAAAAAGGTTATGAAGCCAAATACATTTTGCGTATTGCCACTACTCCTATTATTTTATCGACAACTGAACGTACATACCTGTAAATTTTTCATTTTCAAATAAGCGGGTAGTTTTCGCAGTGCTTTCCACATGTCTTCTTGTTCAGTCATAAGAATAAATTTGCATGCCTTCATCAATCCAATACCCGGAAGCGAATCTAAATAATCACAACCTGACAGTATACACATGCGCCTAAACTTCTCAAAATTGTAGTTCTCCCTTTTGCAACCCATTGCCAAATAAAATTTATCTGCTTCTACTAGTGATCCAGTACCATTCAAGTCCAGCTTGAATATTATTTTACTTGCGCCAAATAATGTCAAATCGGAATCTTCGGTTATAACATATTGTGCCACACCGACCTTATTTAACCAGGCCATTTGTGCATCCGCTTCATACGGTGCGACTATACAATCGACATTTCGCTGCCGACATTCACGTATTACACGCAAAGCCATTTCATGTGTTATATCAACACATCGGCGCATATGTGAACGAGCTCCTTCCTTGTCTCCAGCACGCAGCAATGCTGAAGCCAATTCGCGTGATTGCTTTCGGCTTTCCCGTCGCCGTCGTTCAGTCAGTTCTTTCGCAGGCAAGTGTCGGCCATCGAATACCAAAATCGGTTTGATATCATATCTTAACAGCAGCTCCACATATTTCATGCAATATTGCATATATTGGTCGGTATCTTCACCCATTGCCAACTTCTCAGCACAGCCGAAAGCACCTTTGTGCAACCAGCAATACGTATCCACCACCACGGTGCTACCTCGTATATCCTTCAAGTGTACATCTGATGAAGATTTTCCCAGAAATTTGATAAGGCCCGTAATGCCCATTTTAGCGTACACAAATTTCTACCTTATATCTCTCTGCCCTTAACAACTTTAATATTTTAATTATTATTATTTCATACTAATGTGCGATAACTACCATGGTATAAGTCATCCTTGGTATATGGTTACGATGATAACTACTAATTGTATGCACCAAAATACAAACAACTTATATATATGCGGTCCAGCAGTTTTTGTTTTTTGGCGCCAAAACAACTGTCATTGCCAATCAGCTGACTGCAAAGCTTTAGCAGCATTGCCAGTTCAGATTTACTAGTCAGCCGATAAATAGCGAAAAAAGCTATATATCAAAGGTTTCAAAGGAACTTTCTTAAAGCGTTTGAAAATAATGGACTTTTTTGAAAAATATAAAATTGAAAAGAAACTCGTAGATGTAAATACAGCTGTAACACTTACAATACAACATTCACAATTTTCAAAATTTATAAAATTAAATTACTATTTTATTTTTATTTTTTCAGGAATATAAAAAATCCAATTATCGCTACGCCATGGCCGCATGGTTATGTTTTGAAAATTCTGAATGAGTTGGACTCGAAAAAGACAGACTTTATTGATGCGCAGAATGAACTGATGATTTACTTGTGTATGATTTACCTACCCCCTTCTTTTGATTATTTTATTTCATTTAATATATAACAATATTTTTACTTTGTATACTCTTAGCCAAAGAAGGTATTGTTTGTCCCACACCAGTAACTAATGTGAATGGCAAATATTTTTCGGTCGAGCACATGAATGGCGCAGACTATGTGGTACGTCTGCTGGAGTTTGTACCTGGCAAGATGTTTCATACAGTGGAAAAATCAAATTATCTGCTATATAAGAGCGGTGAATACATAGCTAACATCGATAGGGTGCTGAAAGTGCGTAAACTATACATATTTCAATAAACATATATAAGTATATCTTAATTACTTTTGTTTACTTCATACAGAACTTTCAACACGACGCCTACGATACACATAAAACTCTATGGATGTTGGAATCTATACCACAATTGAGAGAATTTCTCTATGCTTTACAAGATCACGAACGCAAAGCAATTGTTGAGGAAATTATCGACGCATTCGAAAATAATGTACTCAATAAAATAGATAAGCTGGAGAAGCAAATCATACATGGCGATTATAATGAACAAAATATAATTGTTGAACAATCGAAATCTTCTGCAAGTGGCGAATACAAAGTGAAGGGCATCATAGATTTTGGGGATACAAATAAATCGCCAGTTATATTCGAAATCGGCATTGCCCTCACTTATATGATACTGCAGGCAAAGTCACTAGAAAGCGGTGGATACTTCCTTGCCGGTTACACCGATATACGTCCAATAAGTAATGATGAACGTTTACTATTGAAATACTGTGTAGCAGCACGTTTAGCGCAAAGTCTCGTAATGGGCGCATATACGCACAATTTGGATCCGTCTAATGAATATGTATTGGTAACACAAGAGGAAGGTTGGAAAATTATTGAAGAATTGTGGCGCAATCGTTTCATTGAGATAGATGAAATATGGCAGACAACAGCTGATAAATATCTTACGCAAAGTGTTAAATAATTCGTTGAAAGCAGATCGTCTTGGTGCAATAATTCGCCGGCTAGAGCACACGGCATATACTAGATGCACGCACATCATATACATATATACGTATACACAGTCAATTTTAATGTCGTGACAAGTTGTCAATTTGTAAAGTCAAACTGTAATACCAATATTATACATGGAAGCATAAAATTATTATAAAAATAAATCCGCATGTACATAAGTATATGTAAAAGGAAGTATATTAGAGAAATATTTTATTTGGCATACATCGCCGTTTCTGTTCCTAAGTTTACAAGATATCGATTTATCGATCGATCTTCTTTTTCTATCCAAGTAGCTCTGCTCATTTGTCGGAACCTCAGATATCGGACCACTATAGCATATAGCTGCCATACAAGCTGAACGTTCAAATCGAGTTTTTGAGAACGTGCAAACGAAGTTAACGTTTTTTCCTTTTTATACCCTGAACCCGGATATATTAAGTTTGCCACGAAGTTTGTAACACACAGAAAGAAACCCTATAAAATAAACAATATATAAATGATCAGCATGGTGAGCTGAGTCGATTTAGCCATGTCCATCAGTCTGTCTGTCTGTCTGTATATACGCAAACTAATCCCTCAGTTTTTAAGATATCGATCTCAAATTTTGCACACTTCTCTTTCTTCTCAAGAAACACCTCATTTGCCGGAACCGCCGATATCGGATCACTATAACATACATATACATACATAGCTGCCATACAAACTGATTGACCGGAATTAAGTCGTTGTGCGGAAAACTTTTGCATTTGACGAGATATCTTCAAATATTCAGTTTGTATGACAACTATATGCTATAGTAGTCCGATCTAAACATATGACCCCAAATGTAAACAAAGGTTGTTGATTTAGCTAAAAGTAAAAATGGTTGTGGACTTGGCTAAAAGTAAATATAGGTTGTGGACTTGGCTAAATATAACAAAGGTTGTGGACTTGGCTAAAAGTAAACAAAAGGGTCAATGACCTTATGAATTGTAAACAAAGGATCATTGACCTCAGCAAAATGTAAACAAAAAGGTTATTGACCTAAAAATGTAAACAAAAGGGTCATTGACCCTATAAAATGTAAACAAAGGTTGTTAACTTGGCTAATTGTAAATAAAGGTTGTGGACTTGGCTAAAAGTAAATTTAGGTTGTGGACTTGGCTAAAAGTAAATTTAGGTTGTGGACTTGGCTAAATGTAAACAAAAGGGTCAATGACCTCATAAAATGTAAACAAAAAGGTTGTTGACCT